TCTCCCTCTCACTTCCTCTCTCTCTCAAATCAATAATAATTAAAAAAAAACCCTGAGTACAACAGAAATAACTTAGATTTAGGACCAAAATGTGAGTGAATGTATCCAACACCGGAAAAGGATCCCCAGGCTAGGGAAGATGAGGGGGAAGGGGAGCATCGGCGCTGTCCCCCCCTCCCCCAGCCTGGAGGTGGAGGGCGTGAGTAGTCAAAAGAGTCACTGGCAAGATCTGAGGAATACAGGAAGCAGGGTGAGTTTGCGGTGGTTTGTTATGCAGCAACAGGTCAACATAAAGATTAGGGCTGCGCTGTACCTCTAACGTTCTCTGTCCTTTGATAATTGTGACGGCCTCTGGTGTCCATTTGTGGTGCAGACCAATGTTGCACGTGGTCACAGTTAGTCCCAGACACTTTGCTGCCTGTATCAGTGGGCTCTGCCTGCCACAGCGAGGTTGCCGTAGCAGGCTGAGTGACTTAAAGAACAGAAATGTATTTTCGCACAATGCTGGAGTCCGGGAAGTCTAATATCAAGGCACCAGCCAGCGTGGTTTCTGGTGAGCACTCTCTTCTTGGCTTGCAGACAGAGAGCCGCTTGCCTTCTTGCTTTGTGGGGGCTGGAAGGGGAGCAAGAGGATAAGCCAGCCGATGGCAAGGTCCTTCTAAATATGTCCAGGTAAGCGAGGATGTTCCCTGTGGTCCAACATAGCACAGGAGGGGCTGAGTGGTTCTCATGCACCTGAGAAGAGCCCAGAGACAGCGGACAGAGCCAGAAGAAAAGGATCCGTGCAAGTAGGAGTAAGGGATGATGCAGGAGTGGCCTGGGACAGCCGCTGAGGACTAGATGGAAGGATGTACATATCAGGGGATGCCAGCACAGCTGGAAGACCGACTGCTCTTTCCACTTTACCCCAGCATTACTCCAGGAATTTAGACAAAATTCTGGTGAGAGAAGATGGCAGCAACCCCGCTGATGTCTTGGTCAGACGCTTCTCCTTTCTGATCTGATTGCCTTACACACATCAGTGACTGTAGCTGAGTGATTTGTTTCCTCAAAAACAATAAGAGACTTTGCTCCAACAAACTGAACCTCATTACTTAACTCGGACCTGTCAAGATTCTTGGTTGCAAAGAGTAGAGATCATTGCAGGTTAATTCAGACAGAAAAAGACATCGCCCTGGGCTGCCGCCGTGAACACCAGTCACCCTGACTGTTAGTCTCTAGACTCCCTGCCCTGAGCACAAACCCTAATTGGTCCTGATTCCACCCATCTTAGCAGCAACATGGAAGGGCAGGGGGGAGCGGATGAACACACATGTGTGCCGGTATATGCACAAAACATCTGGAAGGATACACAAGGAAGAACTGGGTGGTGGGGAGACAGGTGGAGGGAAGATTTCTCACAATATATATCTATTTTTGTACCTTTTGAATTTTGATCCATGGGAATACATGAACTATCTAAAAAAATTAATCATTATAGGTCCTATTCAATCCCATTTATTACTTACATCTTATAGCTAATTCAAAGCTCCTTGCCTGCTCCCAGGTCTGGCATAACCTGGGCTCCCCAACCTGCAGCTGGGAAGGAGTCAAACTGTTTTCTTCTTCTTTCGCTCCTTTCCCCCTTCACTCCCTTGCTCTTGACTCCTGCCAGGGTGGGATGAGGTCTGGATAAAATCTCTTAGGGGGTGTTATTTGTGGTTCTCTCCTGATGGTCCATACGTTCTGGAGTTCTGGCTCTCTGTGGAATTTTCAGCAGCTCCTCTCACCCTCCCCTGCCTAGGGAACTCCATGTACACAGTATCCTGCTGAGTTATATGCCCTTTGGCTGACTTCTACTCCCTCCTGTGCCTCGTGTGCCTGAGGGGCCCTCCATGGTCTTTTATTTAATTTTTTAATTTTTTGTTGTTGTTGATGAGAAAGAGAGGGAAACATCGATTTGTTGTTTCACTTATCTATGCACTCATCGGTTGATTCTTGTATGTGCCTTGACTGGGAATTGAACCTGCAACCATGGCATATAGGGATGACACTCTAACCAGCTGAGCTACCTGGCCAGGGTCTTTCATGATCTTTTATGCTAGAGTTCCTTCCCCAGCAGAAGATGCCCTTAGGGGGATGCTCGTTTTTTTCCCTGGCATCCGTTTCACCCATGGGACTATTATACATCTTGCCACACCAAATACTGACCTGCCTGCCCATGAGGGCTGCTCTAGCCAGCCTTGAGTTCTCCAGGCAGGAAGGTTAGGTCTGCCATCAAACTCAAGTTTCCCTGAGCACTCTTTGACCTGAATGACTCTAGGGTGCTAGGTGGGCTTATAATTTCTGCAGTTCTGCAGGGATTTAGCCTGGGATTTCATGTCAATCTTCTTGTAAGGAGCCATCTCTTACCAACTTGTCTGGGAGTAGAGGGAAAGGAGATCATTAAGTGAGAACTCAGAACTCAGAAAAATCCCCTCACCCAATGAATATCAGTCTTTTGCTTATTTGAGCGGCTAGAATGTAAGGGTGAGAATCCAGAAACAAATTTGGCCACCTCTTATCAAAATCTGAAGAGAGGTAGGTTCTAGACTGCCCTACTTATATGGCTTTTGCCCTCAGTGTTGGGACTTTTGCCAAGGTTTTGAGACAAATGGCAATCTCCTATTCCACATCTGGTTACTTACATCAAGAAAAACTTCAAAACACCATCCTGTCATGCAAAGCAGAAAGTTATCTTTAATGATAATAACTACCATTTACTGAATGTTTACAAGGTACTAAGAACTTTACATATTAATGCATTAACTGCTCACAACACTAATATGAATTCGGGTTTTCATCCCCACATCAATGCGGAAACCTGAGACCCACAGGTCACATATAGCTTGTGGCAGCTGAAATTTGAATACACGTTTGCCCGACTCCAAAATCAATCTGCATATAAATATGACTGATATAGGCAGAGTCTAGTGCAATTGTCTGTCACCAGTGATCTATGGAATTGGGGTGGAGTGTAGTTATTATGAGGGATTGAAATATCATCAAATATTGTGTGTGAATTCAACACACAAATGTATATGCTATCTCTCTTATATATTCAGTTCAGTTAAACAAATAATAAGTTCTCTGTGCCAAGCAGTGTTCTAGGTGCTGGGGAGACATTAGTGTACAAAAGAAACTAAAATCCCTGTCCTTAGAAAATAATTCGTTAAAGCCATACCAAAATTATATATATATTTTGTCACCATTCATTATACCAATTAAATAAAACTAAAAAAACATAACTATTATCATATGAAGGCTTTGGAAAGACTTTGCTATTTAAAATAAATCTTCATACTGGATCTGTTTTGGAAACCACTGACAGAATTTAAATGATCACAAGGACATGATCCTTTAGATGAGGGAGGGATTTCATGTGCCCTCAAATCCAACCTGGGAATGATGATATCTGGGTCACGGAGGGCATATTGGGCAATCTGCTTGGGTAATCCCACTCATACATTACACACAGCTCAGTGTAAATTATAATGACTACTTATGTGAATCTGGATTATAATTTCATCGATGATAATGATGAGGAATCTGAGGAATCTCAGGGGCACAACTGGAGGCAGGGAGGTGGATTACTTTATCTCTTTTTCCCCTTTGACTCTGGGACTCTCTGAGGTTCCTTCTACAGCTCTTACAGATGAGTGTTTGATCGTTTGTGCAAAGAGGGAGAGATCATATCTGACCTACCTATAACTTCAGTCCTCCAGGATGCCCAGGGCAGAGGCACTCATTCACTTAGTGCTAGTCAAGGGCTGTATGTATGATCGGTTATTTTACCAAAAGATCCATATTCCAAGAAATTACTTGTCAATAAGGTAGCTTTTGGTCTTTCTCGTCCTTACCCTCCCAGGACACTAGCTTGAGTCCAGAGGCCTGTTGCCTTCGGTAACCCCTCCAGATCCTCGCAAGGCGGTGAGCAGTGTTATCCTCTCCACAGGCCAGACGAGGAGGAAAACGAGGCGCAGCATGGCCGAGGCCGCGGAAGTTCTGCACTGCACCTCGCACCCCGCCTCACTGTGTCCTCACTCCTTTCGCCACCCCATCTCCTGAGTTTGATTTCCTTCCCTTCCCGCATCCTCCACTTGCACTGCAAATGAGTCGTGGCCCTCAAAAAAAAAGACTACATTTCCCACAACGCCACGCGCCGGTCAGGCTTCCGTAGGGCTTTCCCTAAGCTGCCGTGGTCATTCACGTTAAATCAAACCCACATTGCCGGCTCAGAGCCGAGTTACTGCTCACTTGTCCGTGAAGACACCTGTTTATTTTCCCTTCTCCACCTGTGATTCCCAGTGTTCGGCGCAGAGGCCTTTGCGGAGGGAAATTCATTCAGGCGACTGCTCTGGCCACCCGGCTTCCTCCGCAGGCCTCGGCCTCTGCCAGGACCCCGGGGGCCTGGGAGTGTCATTGGTGGATGACCGCAGCCCTGGCTGCTGCTGCTGCTGCTGCCGCTGCCACCGCCACCATGGCCTCCTGCAGCAGTGGCCTCACCGCCGCCCGCCTCCTGTCGCGTTCCTTCCTCTGTGAGTCCTGCCAGGGCGCTTTCCTCTGGCCCCGCGAGCTCCTGGCCCGCGGGCCCCGGTGTCCGCCTGCAGGCCGCTCTGAGCCCGGGGCGGGACCTCGGCGAGGGCCCGGAGCCGCGAGGGTCCGGTCCCAAGTCCGGGACCCTCTGGGGTAGAGGGACTCGGCTGCCTCTGCGGGCGGAGGCATGAGTCAGGCTGCTGGTGGATGGCACGTTGCAGGGCTGAGCCCGGGTTCGGGTCGGAGCCGGCGGACCTGCGGGCCTGCTCTCCCCCGCCGGCGGGGTCGAGTGGCGGGAAGGGGGCAGCCTCCAGCCGGCCGGTGGAGGAGTGAGCGGGGAGGTGGTCCAGGACCCGCAGTGAGGTGGGAGGGTGAGCGGCTGGATGTGAGTGTGGGGGACACATGTCTTAGGGAGTCGGGGGTAAGGCTCTCCCGGCACAAAGGGCCTTGCATTTGTAATGGTCCTTGATGCTGATTGTTGGCGTAGCGAAGAGAAATGGGTTCTGCACCCGGAGCCCCGGAGCCCAGAAGACTTCCAGAAGCTCAGGGATGGCCGGGACCTTAACCAGCTTATTTGCAGTGTCTGCCCCAGGTGGTGTGAATCGTCGGCCCCTGAAAACTTAATACCCGAGGATCCTTGTCTTTGAGTAATGCTGACTGGGGGAAATTCTTGCCGTGATCAAAGTCCCTGTGTTTTTAGGGAGACTGTGTAGGAAGAGACTTTGGAATCAGCCGCATCAGGGTTTGAAGTCTGACTGGTCCCATACAGTCTGTGCAATAACCCTGGACACTTCTGAATCCCTTTCTTTCTTTTTTTTAAAATTTATTTTGACTTGTTTTGGGTCCTAACACGTAGTCTGCCCTAGACAGTGTTTTCTTGTGCACTTCAAAAGAATTATACTTTGCTGCTTGGGGTGAAATGCCCTGAAATTATCAATTAAATCTATCTGGTCTAGCCCTGACCGGTTTGGCTCAGCGGTTAGAGCGTCGGCCTGTGGACCAGAGAGTCCTGGGTTCGATTCCGTGGCGTTCGCGCGGGAGGCAGGCAGCCAGTCGATGTGTCTCTCTTGAATCGATTTCTTAATTTCTGTTTCAAATCCCATGAAAATAATGCCATATTTGAATAAATCTAAGGCATCATCATTTTTGTAAGATGCACCATTGTTTAGTCTACCATTAGTAGTGGAAAGTGATTGCTAATTGAAATTGTGACACACCATTGGTTGTCAAATACATCCTGATTTAAGACATGTTAAAAAGTGAAGAAAATGTGCATCTTGGAGATGATGACATATAGGATGATCTGGGTTCATTGTGCCAAATAAGTGAAATAGTTTGTATAAAGCACCTGGGCTGAAATGGACACCCAAACAAGTTATTTTTCTCCTCTTCCATTTGCTGTGCTTCTAATTTTGCTCCTACTGAATGTTAGATGAGGCCATTCATTTCTTGAGAGGATTATATTTTAAAACTGTGTAGGGAAGGATGTGTGCTAAGTAGCCACTTAAGTTACCAGATTACTTGAGGACAGAGGTCTGGCAAGTAGGAAAACATTGGATTTCTTTGGGAAAGTTTTCTGGAGATTCTTACTGTATAATTTAAAGGACAGTTGAAGGTGTTGTAGGCAGAAGGAAAAAAGGAATTAGTTATACCCATGTCTTTTTCTCCTGGGGTCTTTGCTCCTCTGAGTTTCTGAAAAATCCTAGCCTGCTGTCTTACTTGGAGTCTAGAGAACGGAAGAATGTCTAAAAGATCAGGATCCTTATCCACCCTAAGCAATACTTAGCAATGCTCCTTTCACAGAACTGGAAGTTATTTTTTCCATGGACTCTCAGGACCATGAGACCTTAAGAGGTCATCCAGTTTAGCTTTTCTATTGCTGGAGTGGTCTTCAGTTATCCTAGTCATGTTATCAGCCTGTTAATTAAGGGTCTGAGAGGTCTCAGTCTAAACCAAATTATCTCCTTTACTGGGAGAAGGGGGATTACAGACTACAGTTTTAAATGTATAAAAACCTCTAAATCCCTCCAGAGTTTCTCTTTCTGATGCCACATTTCTAAGCCCATTGGTCCCAGTAGAAAAACAGCATTCGCAACAATTCCACCTTGCGAACTTAAAAAAAAAAAAAAAAAAAGTTGGTCACAAGTTAGGCTTTGAGGTTAGTAATAAAACTAGAAATGCTGGGGAATTTTGTTCCCTCTATTCTCAAGTTTTAATTGATGGTACATTTTGTGCCGAAGGTCATAAGTGTTGCAATATTGATTTGAGTTAGGGAAAAAAAATTCCAAACACTTATAGATGCTTTCCAGAGAGAGTTCTGTTTGGGGCAGCCTGGAATGTGTAGACATTCCTGAAGAAAAAACAACAACAAAAATACAGTTCTGTAGCTTTTGAAAAGGAGATAATCCAGTGAAATGGGAGAGGAAATAAAATGAAAACTAAGGAAGATTTTCCAGGAGAAAGTTTAAGGTTTTTATAAGCACCTTTGAAGTTGAGTAATGTTTTTCAATAAGTATAACGCAATCAAGGTAATTTTAAATATAAGCCTAGGAGCTTTTATAAGTTGGGTCTTTTAGAAGAAATAGGGAAGAAGAGCCAGTATTTTTGAACTTCAGAATTATGGTACTTCAGTGCCAGAAAGTGAACCTTACAATTCCATACCTTTGTTTGGCAAATGAGGACATAAACCTAATGTTTCCTAACCAATATCAGAATGGGTATCAGAATGCAGGTCGTCTGACTCTGCAGTGTCCTGTCCACTAATACATGCTGTGTGATACAGTGATACTAGAATATGATACTACAAGCTTCCTTTTTTCTGAGAGAGAATAAGAGAGAGGAGAAGAGAGAAACATTGATGGGTTGCTTCTGGCACGCACACACACACACCTGGAACGGGGATCAAACCTGCAACCTGGGTATGTGCCCTGACTGGGAATCAATTGTCTGTGCACAGGATTATGCTCCAACCAACTGAACCACACTGGCCAGGGCTAAGCCTCTTTTTATGAAGCTTTGATTTTTTTCTTTTTTCTTTTTTTGGCAGTCTCTGGTTTGTTGAGAAGGTGACTGACTATCCTGCTCACAGGTGCCACCTGCCTTTCCCATGTGTTTGCCAAGTTGTGTGGGCCTGTTTGTAGAATCGAGAAAACATTTAGAGGTGTAGTTGGAAAAAGGGGATCCTCAACAGTGATGTTTCTGATACTAGTAACTATTGCCATTGCAACTAAGAACCAAGTCTTCATTTCAGAACTACAAGATGGCCTCGATGCCAGTGCACCATTGTGGCATGAAAAAGTGATTTGAGTTTTCTCGCATCAAACTTGTTCTTCCATAGAAACATAATTAGGGATGTGCAAAATAATTTCTCTAAGTATTGGGGGGCAATTTCATGTCACCAAAGGACAGGCATTTTGTTGCTATAGTCCCACATTTTTTTTTTAACATAACATTTCTAAAATTGGGATGTATTTTATTGATGATATTTTACAAGAAACTGGCAGCATTTTTCTTTCTAGTACTTCTTAAAATTCAATGGTGTTTTATATTTGATTATATACAGTACTTATAGCTAAGCTTGATATGTGAGTAAATATTAAATGAACATATAATTTTGCATTTGAGTAGAGGATTGGGGTTTGGGAATAAGTGGCTGCTGTAGGTAGGGAGCACAATAGCTGTATTGTAATATGTGTTACCCATATATACACACATATTACATATGCATAATATATATTATTAATATATACATTTGTACATTTGTTAAATTCATGAGTACATGCACAAATAAATGAGTAACAAAGGCAGTTTGAGAGGTGAGTTGGAGGAGGAGTATTTTCTTGAACAGAGTCTCAGATTACTGGTTAGGAACATGGTACCGTGGTTTGAGTCACATCTGGGCAGGTGCTCTTTGGCCACAGTTTCATTAATCCTGCAGCTATCTCATAAACCATGTGGTTGTTCTCTCTGTGGAAGAGGACTCAGCATGTGGCTGACTGATACAAATTTGCAACCTTTGTTGCAAGCACTTCTCTCTCAGATTTCTCAGTCCCATCCCTTGTAGTTTTGTGTTTATTTAATATTTAGCTTTTGTACAGACTCTTCATGTGGGTAGGGCCTAAGACCATCTTACTCCACCCTGACTCCCTAGTACTTGGTAGATATCCTGGCACAATGAACACCTTAGAGCAGTTTAGTCTTCTCGTTCTGCATCAGTAGTAATAATAAACAAACAGCTAATAGTGAGATAGCATTTGTTCTACCCTAGGCATTTTACACGCTATATATATTACGAACTCATTTAATTTTCAGATTGCATGTGAGGTACATGGTATTATCACTATTTTTACAGTGTGGCTGCACCTTTAAAAATGTTTCATATGTTAAATATTTACACATCTGTTAAATATTTATATGTGGATGAATATATTTTCACATAAATACATAGGATATGCATGAAGACATATATAAAACATTCTGGTTGGACGTATTTTATTTATTTATTTTTTTATCCTCATCCGAGGACATTTTTGCATTTATCTTCAGATAGAGCGGGAGGGAGAGAGGGAGGAAAGAGAGAGAGAAACATCGACGTGAAAGGGACACATCAACTAGTTGCCACCCACATGACCCCAACCAGGGTGGGGGACAAACCGCAACCGACGTATATGCCCTTAGTGTGAACTGAACTCGGGACTTTCTGGTCTGTGGGCCGACACTCTAATTGCTGAGCCGATTCGGCCAGAGCTGGTTGGATGTATTTTATTTATTTTTTTATTTATTTTTGGGTACGTGCCCCTAGCGGGAACCGAACCCAGTACTCTCTGGTCCACAGGCCAACGCTCCAGCCGCTGAGCCAAACTGGCCAGGGATGTATTTTAAAATGTGAATTATATATGCTCTCTTTTTAGGAGATGATTTACCTTTGTGCTCACATAAGATGTGGACCCAGTTTTGAGAGTATACCATGCATTTTGCTACCCAGTTTATAGGCATCATCTCATATCATTGTCACAACATCCTTGTGGGCAGCTGTTACTCCACTTACAGAGGGGAAGACTGAGGCTACGGGAGATCAGAAGACCTCTCCCCAGGTTGCATGACTGGTGAGCACCTGAGCATACACTCAGGTTCAGGTCTGTCTGACTCCTGGGACTGTGTTCTCAGCTACTTCTGGGACTCAGTCCCAAGGTTAGGCTGGGCAATTTGGAAGAGCCTGGAGGTGGCCCAAGTTATGGCAGCTGTAGCCTTCACCATTGGGTAATTCTTCTTGGTGGCCAACCTCAAGCCTTCCTGCTGCCCTGATGTTTATTTTAAAATGCTCATTTTCTTAATATTAGTAAACTCAGGTGTCTCCTCATATTTGATTTACCATTTTTCTGTCATCAGTTGCCAAGAGAGTGCGCCCTCTGCAACAAGAGTCCCAGGGATGCAAGAGCACAAGAGCATGAACCAAGAGAGAACTCCTTTGTTTAGGAGATTAAATATCTTAACTCTTCCTGCACTTGCAGTGGCCACGCCTATCCTGGCCAGTGACCTGTTCCCAGGTGTGACTGACAAGTACCTTCCCTATTCCACCCAGACTTTACTGGGCATGCGTCTAAACTGTAGCTTCTTGGCAAGGCTGCCCAAATGGCGTGCCTATAAAATTTGGCTTTCCCTTTGTTCCTTTCCAGTTACTTAATTGGTTTCATTACAACCATATCATTTACACTCAGGGATTTATAGTTAGAAGTTCTAAAAATATTTAAGTGATACTTAAAATAATGTAGAGATAAATTTAACCATAAATAAATCTACTTAGAAATAATGCAGTAAAGAAAGTAACATACATACAGTGTATGGCATAAGTATTATATACCACATGGAAGTATTTGCAGGTTCCATTCTTCTTAGTCCAGGATCCCCTACAAAACCCCCCATTATATTCACAAGTCATGAATGTCATGTGTAGATTTAAAGATTCCTCTCAGTACAATGTAATTTAAACATAAACCTATATGAATTAATGCAAATGAAAGTCTCTCTAGTTGAAATCTGGGAGATATTTGCAAGGTGGTTTTGGCCACTAATGTATGCCCTATGTTCTAGATTTAACTTTAGGAAATAGCTTACTCTAGGTATTTCACAGTTTTATCACAGAGCTCAGGTTTCTATTTAAAACCAAAATGATTGCGCCTCTTTAAGTATTTGACAGACAGTTGAAGAATTCTGTTGTCAACCACTCAGCAAAAGTAGAATAGACTATTTTTCATAACTTAAGACACTGATTGATAATTTGGGTGGAGAAGAAATCGAGTAGGGAAAGACAATTCAGAGAGCCAATCTGATAGTTAATGTTTAGAGCAGCCAGTAGTTTGACTCTTCACCAGCCCAAATGAAAGAGAAGGGTGGATTGTGGGAAGGAAGGTGCGGAGGTGGGGATCAGGAGAGACTGCTTTCTTGGGAGGCCTCCAGCTTCTGATTCTGGGCCTTGGATTATATAAAGTGGGGAAGGATAACATAAGTGACTTAAAATTTGATTAGTTTTATTTGCATTGTTTTTATCTGAATGCAAACAAATAGTAAAAGAAAGAATTTCCTTGAGTCTATAATGTCAACAGTGGTAAGACTTATCACTGATGTAATAACAGTATTACCTTACATATATCCACCAGTTGTTACATGTGTCATGGTGACAAGGGGTGGCACGATACTGAGGGTTGGTCCTAGCTGGAGTATGTGTCACCTGATGCTGTCAAAGGTGCCAAAAATTAACATGAGAAGAATTATAATGTTCCTCTGGCCTTTAGGTCCTCCTCACAGCCCTGGCAGGTTCATCCTCTGGTGTGGAGTGAGCTTTTGGGATTAAAAGAACATTGTGGTGTGTAGGATACCATCATGGCTTGCTGAGGTGCCTCAAGGTTTTTCTATGGGGTTCAGAGGCCATTTTGATTGCCAGCATTTCTCATTTTGTTGACCTACATGTTCTAGAGCAGTATTCCAGGACAGGAGGGATACTAGATTCCTTGTCTAGGACCTCCTGTGACAGCTGTATCCCTACAGTGCAGGTGCAGGTCAGCATGGTTGACATGAGGCCAAGCTTGGTTGCATGGTCCAGGACTAGGGTGGAGGGAAAGAGAGTTTTTAGTTCCTGAGAGATTACAGCCATAGCCAGGAACACAAACAACTTTTTTTTTTAGGAGGTAGGAGGTCAAGTATCAGATTTTAGGAATAAATTGCTGGCAGCCCAGGGGTCAATTTGGAGGTAGCTCCAATGAAGAACCCTATCCTCTCTATTCCTCCCTCCCCTGCTCCCTCCAACCACAGATTTATTTGGGGTAGGAGAGTTTACCCCAAATGCCCAGGGCCTATGACAGTGTAGTTATGGCCTACTTTATGTCAGTTCAGACAGATTGTGGGTTTTTTGAGGGTCAAGACTCATATTCAGCACTTAATCCTTGACACACATCATTGTGGCTTGGCATAGGTGCTCCCCAAATATTCACTGAAAAAATGAATGATCATAACCATCCCAGGAACTGGGTATGTGCTTGATTATTCTAGCATCCTCTTATTTCAGTACCAATGATACCTTGTCTGGCATCATCCAGGTTTCTTTTCAGGACAAAATGTGGTCAGGAATTTCATTTCCTTATCTTGAACATGTATTTTGGGGTTAGTCTAAAGGTGTGTCTGTTAGTTCTAGCTTACCTGAAAGTAGGTCTCATGAGCCTGGGCTAATACGGTAGATGGGGAGATCACACGCACATGTACACGCGTACCCACACAAATGCATGAGAGCTCTCCAAGGACCCCCTCGCTGGGTGCTTTAGACTGTCAAGGTCATTGCACAGAGCTAGGAGACTGGAAGGGGAGCTGCTGTTCATCATGCTTTCAATGCCGTGTTTATGACCAGAGTTCTAGTATTATGAGGCCTGAGCTCCATGGAGTTGATCTAGAAGGTCTGGAGCAGGAGACGGAGTAAGAGAAGGTAGTAGTTTTAGTTTTCTGGTATTGAGGTCATGCTTTGTACAAAGGCAGACCTGTCTTTTCTCAGGAGGAGAGGGCCTCTCCTTGCCTGTGGAAGAAGACATTAACTGTCTGTTGTCTCCTTTCTTAAGTGATTAGATATAAAAGTACTTGTGGAGGACAAGACTTGACCTTCAAAAAGCAAGGGTTTCTTTTTAGCAAGTATAGCCTGATTTTATCATTTGACCTTTAATCAAATTTACTGTCCTGTCTGAAAACTCCAGATAGACCTATTTTTGGAGATTCAAGGAATGGGGAGCAGGGAGCCCTGGTAGAGCAGATTCTGCCAGGAATAGCTCCCAGGGAGGAAAGCATGTAGTTCTTCCATAAGTATAGGAGAACTGGCAGCTAAGGACAAGAATGGGCCTTGAGTGACAGTACTGGCTAGTTGGGCTCTTGAGCCATAGATCCCTGTTGTAGTGTCCACTGGCCCACGTTCAGCTGCTTAGCTGTGCCCAGTGTGCCAGGACTTGACCCTCAGTGCTCCCTCATGGCCTTTGTTCAGCATAGTCTAGTTCAAGGATGCTGCTCTTTGTTATCCAGCAGATCTGTGTGCACACAGAATACGCCTCTCCCGGTTGGTAAGGGTGAGCTATGGGCCTGTCTCTTTTCCTGGAGGTCGATGGGACTCCAAAATTCAAAGTTATTAGAAGCTGTGCTCGGTATGCGAGTTGAAGGTAACTCAAAGATGCTCAAAGGGCCAGAAGCAGATCATTTATGGAACCTGAGGCCTGAGGATTTAGGAGGGCATGAAGCAGCGATTGAAGATGAAAAGCATGGAAGGGAACCTGGACAAATATGTGATTAGATGTACTTTTCTGGGCTACCTCAGTTGTAGGTGGACAGCCTAGCACTTTTGAAAGGACCGGAATGGGCCACAGAGACAGCAGTTTGGGGCTCTGATAGGGGTTTAAAGGTAGTCAGAAGTAGCCCACAATTTTAATTTTTAGCTGTACTCTACTTTCTACTGATTTTTGAAATGGGGAGCTGGCTTTAGTAATTACTTAGATTTCTCAGTTTTTGTTAAGATAGGTTGCTGAAAATAGGTGTTTTTTTTTTTTTTTTTTTTTTTTTTTACATGTTTCTCCCACACCTATTCCTATTTCTTTTTTTTTTTTTTATCCTCAATCCTCATCCTCACATTTTTCCATTTTTTGTTCAGATAGAGCGGGAGGGAGAGAGAGGAAGAGAGAGAGAGAGAAACATCGATGTGAAAGGACACATCGAGTGGCTGCCACCTGCACGACCAACCAGGGCCGGGGACAAACTGCAACCGAGGTACATGCCCTTAGCGGGAACCGAACCCGGGTCTCTCTGTACCGCAGGCCGACGCTCTAACCGCTGAGCCAAACCGGCCAGGGCTCTATTTCTTTTATATGTAAGGTCTTGAGTCTTATATCAGAAGAGATAAAATTAAGTAATTTCAGAGTATTTTAGACAAGTTTTACTCTGTGGCTTAACATTGGATTATATTTTAGATAAGTTTTATTCTATGACTTAACATTTCATGTTAATGTTAATAATTAATGTTAGTATTGGGGAATGAGTTCCAGAGTTCTTAGTAGTTCTTCTGACAAAATTTTCTTCTTATTTCTCCTGTTTATAGATTTGGGGTTTCAAAAGTCTGGGTCTCATGGGAAAAGCATGTGGCTGGCTGTTTAGTAAACTTGATTAGTGGGAGAGACACTGGTTTTCAGTCCCTGGATTTAGTTTGAGCCGTTTGTCTTTAGGCACCAGTTTTTGTGGAGTGAAAATTATAAAATTGAACTTTTCTTCGTCAGCTCAGAAAAAGCTGGAAGTTGTGGTTCCCAGTAAAGGGGATTCCGGAAAATAGTGTGTGTGTATATATATATATATATATATATATGTATATATATATATATATATGTATATGTGTATATATATATATATATGTATATGTATATGTATATTTTTGTTTGTTTGTTTGTTTCTCAAATCTATTTCTGTAGTCAATGTGTCTTGTTTAAAGAGTGACATTTATAGTTGCTGTGATCACAGGATAGCTCCTGCATTAGAGGATTTATTTATGTTTTGTCCCCAAGTTCAATCGATGGTCCAGAAGTTTGGAAAATTTATAACGTGTCATATTTGCTTTACTTTTCAGTGCAACAGAATGGAATTCGGCATTGTTCCTATACAGCTTCCCGGAAACATCTCTATGTTGATAAAAATACAAAGGTTATTTGCCAGGGTTTCACTGGTAAGCAGGTATGTGTTTCAGGATTTATTTGAAAAGAAGTATACTAGAGATGCAAAAAAATTTTTGTGATTTTTAAAATCTTTTTAATACAAGTTATAATACATGATTGTTGCAGAAAAGTAATGTAGTATAGCAATGGAGTTGTATCTTAGGAGAACGATAGTTATTATACTGAGCTGGTAAGATGAAAATTGTGTTTAAACTTACCTTGAAAATTCCTCCTGGGGATTATATTATGTTGGAAACTCACATATTCTCCTTCAGCAAGTGTTAACAACACTGGTTTTCCTCCAGCATTGGAACAGATCACAATTTCCTTAATTAAGCACTAGGTTAAGTAGATGGCTTGTGTTTAGACCTTGTATAAAAAAAATACACAGTGAAACATGGATCTCCCTTCAGTGTGGGGAAATGCTCAAGCCCAGCGAGGCTCATGGGATCTGAGATAGGCTAGGTTACAGCACATTGAATTTTCCCATCTTCTCGGTGCAATGGTCTTGGAGGAGGCCATTTTATATACACACACACACACACACACACACACACACACATAAACAATACATACATGTACATAACACATTATGTAGTATATAATATAGATCATACAAATATGTGTCTATAGAATAGATTCTCAAAAGTAAAATTGGGTGTCAAAGTTTCTGTGTATTAAAAATTTCAACAGCTAGTGCTAAGTTGCCCTTTAAAACGTTTGTACAAATTTATAGTAGATGCACAAATATTTTTTTTTAATGAGGGAATACTACCAAATCAATTCAATGATAACTATGTGTCTTAACTTAAAGTATCCCTTTCTTTATTCCTGAAGGAGAAATGGCAGGATAAAAGCAGTTAATGATTTTTTATTTTGTAATTTAAAAGTTATTGATTTTTCTGTAATTACAACAATTGTCATGTCCATTCTGCAGCATTTTGTCTATCTAGAGCAGGAGTTGGCAAGCTTGTTCTGTAAAGGGCCAGACTGTAGACCTTTCAGGCTTGTTACAGCTACTCAACAGCACTGTGACAGCAAAAGCCACCATAGACGATATGTCAATGAATGGCCGTGGTTGTAGGTCAGTAAAACTTCATTTACAAAACCAGTAGCGGGCCAAATCCCCTAGGCGGTAGTTTACCAACCCCTGATCTAGAGGCTGATACCTAATGTCCAATTTCTATAACTTTTATTTTTTAAGTACTTAGAAATTGCTTTAAAATTATAAAGTCCTTTTTAATTAATTTATTATTTTTTATCCTCACCCGAGGACATTTTTTGCAATCATCTTCAGATAGAGCGGGAGGGAGAGAGGGAGAGAGAAACATCAATATGAGAGAGATACAGTCGACTGGTTGCCACCCACATGACCCCAACCGGGGCCAGAGTCAAACTGCAACTGAGGTACATGCCCTTAGCGGGAACCGAACCCAGACTCTCCGGTCCGCAGGCCAACGTTCTAACCGCTGAGCCAAACCCAAACTGGCCAGTCCTTTTTTAAAAAATGAATTTGGTTAGAAGGCTGTTTCATGTAGAATAATTCTTTTGCTCTTTGACTTGTTTCTGAAATAACTGGACACAAAAATGTGAATTGTGTGGACTTTCTTTTTTTTTATTCCTCTATCTTAAAGCCACTACTAACAAAAAAAACTCCGACAAAGCCTTGAAATTTTCTTTATATGTAAAATTGATTTATTTATTCTGATAGCCTATTTTATGAGTATCACTTCCACCTATATATGTTATGAAGAAAGCTGATGCTCATTTAAGACTTGAAGTACATATTAACATCGCTGCCAATGAAAATCATATGCAGTCCCTTTTTGATTATTTATTCATTTTGTTAACATATAACCAAATATTTGATTAACACAAATTCCCCACATGTTTATTATGTATAACTTTGTTTTTCCGTTTGCTAAACTTTATATGATCTTATGACATTTTAACCTCTGACCTATTTTCTTAAGAACTGTTATCCCTGGTGTAAGCACTATTTGGAACTGTCTCTAATTTGGTGATAGTTTGCCTAAATATTGAAATCCAGGGTTGGTTTCTGTGTCTTTCAGTTATCTGCAATTATATTGTTTCTCATTTAGTTAGATTTCTTGGGTAAGATTCTAATATTAGAGATAATGATGAGGTCTGAAATGTAGAGCTTACCTTCGTAGGAAACCTGCACTTTGTCTTATTAGCTCTCTCTTATTTCAGAGTGGATTCCAACAATGCAGTTTTCCAATGATTGAATTTTTCCTACTGGCTTAGACGGCTGCTAAAATTATCCCGGTTCTTAACTGTGCACTGGCTAGTGATAATGGGAAAACTAAGGAAAATAAGCTTATTAACAGGAAATACTGTTCCTGTCCAGCACGACATTAGAACTAAAAAATTGGGTCATATGAAGTTATCTAGCAGTGTAGACTAGGACAGTGCTTCTCGAACTGTCTGGAATGAGAGTCCAGTTTGGTTGTTTGTCTTTATTTGCCAGTCTAATGCAGATCAATACTTTTGCAAAACACAAGAAAAATCGCAGCAGTATCATATTGCTGTAAAAATTTGCAAACATTCTCAGTTTTTGTGTTTTTTTTTATTAGATTTTCTTCCTTCCTTCTTTCTTCCTTGTGATTTTCTTGTGTGTGTTTATATCACTGCAGACCAGAAAGAGTCTATATATATACTTAGAATAGCACTGCTTTAAAGAGAGTACTGATCCAAAATTCCATCACTGACTTTAGACAAGTCAGTTTACATGCTTGGGACTGAATTTCTTAGTTTGAAAAATGGAGAAGTTGAATTAGGAAATTTCTAAGTCCCTCTTAAGGCCCGCATTTTTATGCCTTTAATAGAATTTGAGTAATTGAGTTAGCATTTTTGGGTCCTTGTGGAATGACCACATAGCACCACTCAGTTTTCAGTAAGTACTTACTGAGAGCCTACTGTATGTAACGTGTTGATTTAGGTGCCACCTTGCAGTGAGCAAAGAGGACAGAAATCACTGTCTTCGTGGAATTTACATTTTAGTTGCAGGGGAGAGAAACACATCAACAAAATCAATAAGTTATATGATAGGTTAGAAAGTATAAGTGTTATGGAAAAAATAAACTAGAGAAGGAAAAATAGGGTGTAAGTTTGTGGAGTTGTGGCAGTGGTTGGGATGGGGCAGGGGGATTTTATGTCTCATGTGGTCAGGGGTCAACCAAGTGGACATTAGGAGCAGTGTATTGGTGGGAGGAGGGCGTCGTCCTGGCATCTACTGAGGGCAGCCCAGGGCTGCCGCCAAGGGGCAGCGAGGCTGTGAGGCGAGAGAGGGCTGGTGGTGTGGGAGCTGTGCGGCCTTCGTGACTGGAGTGAAATGAGCAGAGGGAGAACAGTAGACGAGGTCAGGCAGGTAAGGGTCTTGAGATGGGTAGGCAGGTTGGACATTAACTTGTCGGCCATTGTAAGGAGTTTGGCTTTTACTGTAAATAAGATGGAAAGCCACTGGAAGGTTTAAGTAGAGGAGTGACATGATCTTCCTTATGTTTTAACAGGATCACTGGCTGCTGTGTTGAGAATAAATTGAAAGGGAGCAATGCAGTATTCGGTCAAGAGTTGATGGTGACTTACACCAAGCCCTAGAAAGAGTGAGATGTCAGTTTTATTTTGAAGGTAGCGCAGTATGATTTAATAATATAGTTGATGTGAGATAGAAAAAGGAGAATTAAGTATGGCTTCAATAAAAATATCTGAACACCTGTTAGGAGTACAGTTATCACTAATCGAGATGGGTAGATACGTGGAGGGGAGTGATCAGGAACTCAGTTTTGGGCACTTTAAATTAAGATGCCTGCTAGTTCTCTAAGGAGATGATAGATAGGCAGTTGACAGTGTGAGTATGGAATTCAAGGCAAAGGCTAGATGTGTGTATGTGTGTGGGGGCTGTCTGTGTGTGTATGGGAGGCGGGTCACCATGTGGACATTTATTGCCATGATAAAGGATGAAATCACCAAGAGCACATATTTTGATGAAAAAGAGAAGAAGTCTAAGGAGAGAGAGAGAAGAGGGAAACCTGGGGAGGTGGAGCCCCAGAAGCCTAGTGAGAAAGAATCGTTTGATCCTTGGAGACATTTTTGGTTGTCACAGCTGACTGGTGGAGAAGAGGGTGTGTTACTGGCATCTACTGAAAGGAGGCCAGGGATGCTGCTAAACATTGTACAAAGCAGAGGACAATCTCCCGACACAGAATCAATGTGTCTAAAATGGCAGTAGTGCCGAGGTTGAGAAGGGAGAGTGAATGGAGAGGGAAATACAGATGTTGTCTGGGCAGCCTTAAAGGGCTCACTTAAGGTTAGTTATCATTTAAAGTGAGATCAGTTGGCATGGTTTGTTTTTTCTTTAGCTACAAATGTGCCATCTTAGAGTAGGTGGACAATTGGATTTAATGAAGGTTGTGATTTTTTTCCAGATGTGTAAGTTGAAGTGAGAGAGAGCCAAGGCTGCTGCGTGCGTATAATGACTCACCATGGATTTTAAGTTCAGTGGAGGGATGTGAGGACATCAGGAGCTGAGGAATAGTGAAAAGAAGTGTTAAGTAAAATATGAGGGCATTTCTGAACCCCAGTAAATTTGAAAATGGAATAAAAAGAGACACTCCTGCCCTGGCCGGTTTGGCTCAGCGGTTAGAGCATCCGCCTGCAGTGCAGAGAGTCCCGGGTTCGGTTCCCGCTAAGGGCATGTACCTCGGTTGCAGTTTATCCCTGGCCCTGGTTGGGTCGTGCGGGTGGCAGCCACTCGATGTGTCCCTTTCATGTCGATGGTTCTCTCTCTCTCTTCCTCTCTCCCTCCCACTCTATCTGAACAAAAAAAATAGAAAAATGTCCTCAGGTGAGGATAAAAAAAAGAGAGACAGATTTTTTTTTTTCCACAAACAGCTGTTTTTTGGGCTTTGCAGAGGCCTGTTTTGCTTCACGGTTTAAAGCTGTTTCATAAGTTGGAGAGAATGCTGAATATATGTTACTGTTACACTCTGAGAAGTAGTTCACTTGTTTGTCTTCTTCTTCCAAGTTGCTGAAGATTGCTGTTAGGTTTCCGCCCTGCCTGGTCTCCTGAGTCTTGTGCTTTTCCCCACAGGGCACCTTTCACAGCCAGCAGGCGTTGGACTACGGCACCAAACTCGTTGGAGGAACCACGCCAGGGAAAGGAGGCAAGACGCACCTGGGCTTACCCGTCTTTAATACTGTAAAGGAGGTAATTAATGGCACCTGAGTGTGGCAAGAAACGAAAAGCCAGCTGGGAAGAGTGAGCTCCTTTGGCTAGAGATCTTAATTGTGCCCCTTTGGGGAGAGTCCCTTGCCATTTTAAAACCCAGTAACCTAGAGAGATTTAGATCACAGTACAGACCCGTGGGTTCACTGAGTCACATACGCTGAGGGTGTGTCTCCACAGCCTGTGTCACTTTGGTTTGTAGGTACACATCCGCTCTCAGGGAAGAAGGGCTGTGGCGTGGCTTCCGTGTGGCAGGTGCCCTTCTACCCTTTCTCCCGGGATGTTAGTGCACATGTCAGCCTTTGCCCCCAACACTCACGGAGCCTGGGCTTTGTGCCGGGCACTGCTGGGGGCTTCACAAACAGTGCCCCATTCAGGACTTACCTTTCATCTTGGTTTCAAAATGAATGTGTGCTCATTGTACAAATTCAGATGATATAAAGGTATGTAAAATTGTATAGTGTTTTTCACATCTGTTTTTGCCTTTATAGAGAGGTAATTTAAGCCATGTATAATTCCTTTCTACACTTACATGAATATGTATAAAGAATAGTATTTTTTAAAAACATACATTAATTTTTTCTTTATTGATTTTTTTTTTTTTTTAAGAGAGAGAGAAACATTGATGAGAGAGAACATCGATTGGCCACCTCCTGCATGGCCCCCACTGGGGATTGAGCCCACAACCTGGGCACGTGCCCTGACAGGGAATCGAACCGGCGACCTCTTGGTGCATGGGTCGACGTTCAGCCACTGAGCCACACTGGCCAGGCAAAATAATAGTATTTTAAAGGAAATGGGGGTGTGGGGGTAGGTAGAAGAGGATAAAAGGGGATAAATGGTGATGGAAGGAGACTTGACTTGTGGTGGTGAACACACAATACAATACATAGATGATGTATTATAGAATTGTACATCTGAAACGTGTATAATTTTATTAACTAGTGTCACCCAATAAATTCAATAAAAATTTAAAAAAAATAAAGGAGATGGTAGTACAAATTCTTGACTATTTAATTAAAAAATATCTTGGAAGTAAACTTAGTACTTTGGCGTGATGTATTAATGATAAAAAATATATACTGCTTCACTCTTTTAGGGTATGTTTTAAGTATTGCAGTTTTTAAAGTACAGATTTATAGCCCTGGCCGGTTTGGCTCAGCGGTTAGAGCATCGGCCTGCGGTCCGGAGAGACCCAGGTTCGGTTCCCGCTAAGGGCATGTACCTCGGTTGCAGTTTGTCCCCGGCCCTGGTTGGTCGTGCGGGTGGCAGCCACTCGATGTGTCTCTTTCACGTCGATGTTTCTCTCTCTCTCTCTTCCTCTCTCTCCCTTCCACTCTATCTGTGCAAAAAATGGAAAAATGTCCTCGGGTGAGGATAAAAAAATAAAAAAATAAATAAATAAATAAATAAAGTACAGATTTATAGACAATTTCTTTTCAGAATGCAACTTCAAATTGACATTAATTTGTGCTTTGAATCCTAAGATGTAAGAAAAAAACAAATATCACTTAAAGTTTAATTTTTCATTTTACTTTAAATATGAAAATAAAGGCACACTATATGTGTGTGCTTTAATTTTTTTTTTGGAAGTATTTTTGTTAATTCTCACCAGAGGATACTTTCTGCATTGATTTTTCAGAGAAAGTGGAGGGGAAGGAGGGAAGGACAGAGAGGGAGGGAGAGAAACATCCATGTGAGAGAGACACATTGATTGGTTGCCTCCCGAAAGTGCCCCTAGCAGGGCTGGGGATCAAACCTGCAAGCCAGATATGTGCCCTTGACCGGGAGTCGAACCCGAGACCCATTGGTGTGCAGGCTGATGCTCCAACCACTGAGTCACACTGGCCAGGGCTATGTGTGTGTTTTAAGTGTATTGTATTTTAAAGATTTTTTAAGAAGTTATAAATCATGATTGGTAGAAGAATCATTTAAAGTCTTTTGCTTTAATTTTTTTGTTTTTTCCCCCCCTTAAATTCTATCATGCCTGCCTTCATGACCTCAAACATAGAGAGGAGCTGTTTTCATAATTCCTCTAGGTAGATTTGATGACTTTTGTCACGAGCCTTTTTCACTTCCTTTAAAGAAAGTTTTTGTATATAAGCAGTTCATTTTTTATTCATCACGATACAGATAGTGTGATATTTGGACTATTCTGTAAGTTCTTTGACAGATATTGTTTATTTCTCATTTGTTCAACTCTTACAAGGAGTTTTCCAAATGAGTAGGATGGGCACCTTTCATCCTGTACTGTGACAGTGTGTGTAGCCTTAAGAGGTAGAGAACTGTGGGATATGTTTTCCATAAAATACCTACATGCCCATGATCTGACTTCTGGTTCCAATCTACTTTTTATTTTGTTCCCCTTTCTCTGTTACCACCTTGAACAGAGTTTTTCAGAAACATATTTTGACTCCTGGCATCATTTGTGGATGATCTGGCAGCACCCTTGGACTTTGTTCTTCTGTCATCGTCAGGATACCTTTTTTAATTAGGGATGCAGTAGAGAAAGCTTCTCAGTCTGGGAATGTGGAGACTCACTGTCTTTACTTCTGCCCCCTTCTAATTGTACGTGAATGTTCTGTAACTTTGTATTTGTATTATCCAGTGTAAAAATCCCATGGCACAGCCTTCCAAAGGGTTTTTATTTATATCATGACTGAGTTACATTTTAACCCGTGCAGGGAGGTAGCCTGCTGTAACGGAAAAGAATGGACTCTTTGGAATCAGATAGACATAGGTGTGAATCTTGGCTCTGCCACTTCCTAGCTGTGTAATCTTGTGCAAGTTATTTAATTTCTCTTGACCTCAGCATCTAAAGAGGGTTGTGGTGAAGCCTTAACTGAGACCTGTATGGAGCCCTCTCATAGGGTAGGTGCTCACGCTGCTCTTGGAGAGTCAGAGATCACTGATAATCAAGGAGCTTCCATTACTGTGGAAGAGATGTGCTCACATTTGGAAAGGGGAAAAAGGATATATCCATATTGATACACACAGAGAATACATAAAGACCAAACGCAGGTTAATGTCCACAGAAAGAAGGATGGTCAAATCGATGGTCTTTAAGTGCTTTGCATTGTGAGGGGTGATGTAGAGGATACCCTAAATCTTATTTCACCCACATTCTTATTCTGTGGCCACTTATACATATGCTTTTTAGTTTAACCAACTGAGCTACCCAGCCAGGGCAAGTATAATATATTTTTAAAAAGATGTTTGAGAGTCTAGTTCCAAGGCTCAGGGACGCAAAAGTCCTTTATCTCCTGAGGAGGTATAGGGTCTTTGGTACTGAATAGGTGATACAGTGTCTTGTAAGCAACAAAAGAAACATGGCCACATTGGGCAGGGCTCTCGGGTTTACTGATATGCCATCACCTGAGGGATTTCTCAGAACCTTTAAATTCAGTTGGCATTCCAAAGAGGCAGAGAGGAGGCCACAAAGACATCCCATGTCTCTTGGTGGTGTTCTATAATGACCCCAAGGCTATTAAAATCATGGTGTTGCACTAATTTTTCAATGATTATGACTTAACCAATAATAAAGTGCTTTATGGTTAATGTTTCAGGCTAAAGAACAGACGGGAGCGACAGCTTCTGTCATTTATGTCCCTCCTCCTTTTGCTGCTGCTGCCATTAATGAAGCTGTGGAAGCGGAAGTCCCCTTGGTCGTGTGCATTACTGAAGGTATCCCACAGCAGGACATGGTACGGGTCAAGCACAAGATACTGCGCCAGGGAAAGACAAGGCTGATCGGGCCAAACTGCCCTGGAGTCATCAACGTGAGTGCACAAAAGAAAGAGCCTGCTCAGCCTCCCGCAGGCTCATTACCTCTGCATCAGTCCAGTGTACTGCTGTGTATGACCTATGAGTTACAATATTTTTTCACTTTTCTGAAACTATAATTTCTGTTTCTTTAGCCTGGAGAATGTAAAATTGGTATCATGCCTGGCCATATTCACAAGAAAGGAAGAATTGGTGAGTATGTTTCTTACAATTCTTTGCCCTAAGCTCAGAACTTGCAAAGAGAATTTGTGACTGCGAAAGTCAAATTCATTTTAATTAACAGAGAAGTTTTGTCGTGAATCAATTTTTAAAATATTTATTTATTCATTTTATTTTAGAGGGAGAGGAAGAGAGAGAAAAACATCCATGTGAGAGTGACACATCAATTGGCTGCCTCTTGCATGCCCTCTATTGGGGATTGAGTTTGCAACCCAGGCATGTGCCCTGACTGGGAATCAGATTGATGACCTATTGGTGCACAGGATGACGCTCAACCAATTTAGCCATACCAGCCAGGGCTGAATCAATTCTATATCCTGAATTAAATGAGTTTGAGAAAGTGTTATGATTCTGTAGAATCAATGAAGATATTTTAGGGAGTATTTTTATTTTTTTTAATCCTCACCTGAGGATATTTTTTCCATTGATTTTCAGAGAGAGTGAAAAAATCGATATAAGAGAGACAAATCAATTGGTTGCCTCCCAGGGCCGGGGGTTAAACATGCAACCCAGGTACATGCTCTTAACTGGGAATCGAACCCACGATCCTTCAGTCAGGGCCAACACTAACCGATGAGCCAAACCTGCCAGGGCTAGACACATTATTATTATTATTTATTTTCATCCTCACCCGAGGACATTTTTCAATATTTTGTTCAGATAGAGTGGGAGGGAGAGAGAGAGAAACATCTGTGTGAAAGGGCCACATTGAGTGGTCGCCACCCACATGACACAACCAGGGCCGGGGACAAACTGCAACCGAGGTACATGCCCTTAGCGGGAACCAAACCCGGGTCTCTCCAGACCGCAGGCTGACGCTCTAACCGCTGAGCAAAACTGGCCAGGGCTAGACACATTATTTTTACTTTCAATCATACATGACACATTTAACCCCTCTATTCTTTTTTAAAGTTTTATTTTAATTAAGCTTTTTATATTTAAATAATTGTCAATTCACATTTAGTTGTAAGAAATAATATAGACAGATTTCAGTGTATCCTTTATCCTGCTTCTCCCATTGGTAGCATCTTGAAAAAACTATAATACAACAAGGTCACAGGATATTGACATTGATATGGTCAAGATAGAGGATGTTTCCATCACCACAGGCATCCCTCATGTTGCCTTTTTATAGGTACACCTACTTTCTTCCTGCTCCTACCCCTTTCTTAATTCTCAGCAACTAAAATCTGTTCGCCATTTATGTAATTTTGTCATTTCAGGAATGCTATGTAAATGGAATCATACGGTATGTAGCCTTTTGGGATTGGCTGTTCACAGTCAGCATAATTCTCTGGAGACTCATCCAGGTTCTTGACTGTATCAGTAGTTCATTCCTTTTTATTGCTGATTCGTATACCATGGTAGGAATTTACCACAATTTGTTTAACCATTCACCTTTTGAAAGATACCTGGATTTCCAGTTTAGGGCTATTATAAATAAAACTTGAATAAATATATAAACATTTGTGTGCTGGTTTTATATGTATATAAGCCTTCGTTTCTTTGGGATGCTCAGGAGTGCAATTACTTGGTTTGTATGATAGTACGATAGTTGCATGTTTGTTTTTTAAGAAACTGCCATCCCTGGCCAGTTTTGCTCAGTGGTTAGAGCGTTGGCCCACGGACCAGAGAGTTCTGGCTTCGGTTCCTGCTAAGGGCACATACCTCGGCTGCAGTTTGTCCTGGGCCTGGTTGGAGTCGTATGGGTGGCAACCAGTCGATGTATCTCTCTCACGTCGATGTTTCTTTCTCTCTCTTTCCCCTCTCTCCCTCCTGCTCTATCTGAAGATAAATGCAAAGAATGTCTTCGGATGAGGATAAAAAGATAAATACAAAAAAAAAGAAACTATGCCCAAATTTTATCCATTTTGGCCATTGCATTTTACATTTTCATCAATAATGTATGTGTGATCCACATCCTTGTCAGCATTTGTAGTGTTACTGCTTTTTATTTTAGCCATTCTGATAATTGCTCAGTGATACCTCATTGTGGTTTCAATTTACATTTCATGTGCTTAGTTGTCACCTGTATAGCTTCTTTAGTGAAATGTGTCTTTATGTTGTTTTTTTGTTCATGTTCTAATTGGATTATTTGCTTTTCCGTTATTGAGTCTTGAGAGTTCTTTATCAATTCTAGACACTAATACTTTTTGGATATGTGGTTTGCAAATATTTTCTCCTACTTTGTAGCTTGTGTTTTCATCCTCTTTCAGAGAGCAAACGTTTTTAATTTTGATGAAGTCCAATTTATTAATTTTTTTCTTTTGAGAAGTATGCTTTTGATGTCAAGTCTAAGAATTTTTTTGCCTAGCAAGATCCCTATATTTTTCCTGAAAGTTTTACAGTTAAATCCATGATTCAACTTCAGTTAGTTTTTTCTATAAGATGTAAGACTTACATCAAAGCTTTTTTTTTTTTTTTTTTTAACACCTGTGGATGTCCAATTGCTCCAGCATCATTTGTTGAAAAAATTATTTCTTCCATTGAATTGCTTTTGCATGTCAAGAATGGTCTATTTCTGGGTTCTCACTTCTGTTCATTGACTAACGTGCCTATCTAATACCAGTACACACAGTCTTGATTACTGTAGAAATAACAATGACTTGAAATTGGATAGACTGATTCTTTGCACTTCATTTTTTTTCAAATTATTTTAGCTATTCTAGTTTCTTTACTTTTCCATATCATTTTTAGAATGATCTTGTCTATATCTATAAAAACTCATATTGGGATTTTGATGGTAATTGTGTTAAGTCTATATGTCAGTTTGGGAAGAATAGACATCTTTATTGTTGAATCTTCTAATCCATCGACACAATACTTCTCCATTTTAGATTGCCTTTGATTTCTTTCATCAGCATTATGTAGTTTTTAGCATACAAGTGCTGTCTGTGCCTGATTTCTAAGATTTATACCTAAATATTTAAAAGCAATTGTAAATTTCATTGTGTTTTAATTTTGGTGTCCATATGTTCATTGCTAATATATAGAAACACAGTTGATTTTTATTGCTGAACTTGATAGGAGTTTCTTTGTAGATTCCTTTGCATTTTCTTATGTAGACAATCTTGTCATCTGCAAATAGGGACAGTTTTATTTTTAACTCTTAGAAAACTCAAGAGAAGAAGTGAAGTCTATTTATTTATAGTTCTGATTACTGTGTTCTTCCTTACTGGTATTCATTCTAAGTTTCCTTTTTAATAATTTTCTTTCTGTTTAGAGAACTTTTATTAGCCATTCTTGTGTGATAAATCTGTTGGTGACAGATTCTCTACTTTTCCCTCATCTGAGAATATCTTTATTTCCCCTTCATTCCTAAAGGATAGTTTCACTGGGTGTAAGATTCAAGGTTGACAACTCTTTTCTTTCAGCACTTAAGAAATCTTTTCCCACTTGCTTCCATGGTTTCTAATGAGAAGCTGGTGTCGTTTGAATTGTTTTTGCTGTGAAGGTATGGTGTTGCTCTCTCTGAAGTTTATTTATGAATAATTTTATTGTGAATTTCTTTAGGTTTATCCTGATTGAGGTTTGCTCACCTTCTTGAATATACAGTAAGTCTCTTGCCAACTTTTAGATTTTGTAAGACATTTCTTCAAGTACTTTTTTAGCCTTGTGGCTCTTTTTTCCTCTCTTTCCAGGACTCTGATAACACAAATATTAGATCTTTTGTTATAATTCCGTAGGCCGCTGAGGCTCTGTTCATTGTTTTTTTCCAGTCTGTTTTTTCTCTGCCATTCAGATTGGATAATTTCCATTGTTCTATTACTCATTTCACTGATTCTTTCCTCTCTTCCCTCCATTATCCTGTTGTGATCATCCAGCGAGCTTTTAGCTTTGGTTATTGTATTTTTCAGTTCTAAAATTTATATTTGGTTTCTTTTATAGTTTTTTTGTTGTTGATTTCTTTGTTTTTGTTTTCTGCTGAGACTTTGTATTTCCTTGATAAAGCTTTTTTCTCATTTGTTTCAAGCATGTTCATGATGGTTAAAGTAATTTTATCATGGCTTCGTTAAAATATTTGTCAGACAATTCTAACATCCCCTTCATCTTAGTGTTAGCATCTACCGATTGTCACAGTTTGATAATGTCTTGTTTCTTGGTATGCTGAATGGTTTCTTTTTTTTTGTTTTGTTTTGTTTTGTTTTTTGCTGTTGTTGTTAATCCCTAGCCAGGGATATTTTTCCATTGATTTTTTAGAGTGGGAAGGAGGGAAGGGAAAAGAGAAAGAAATATGGATGTGAGAGAGACACATCGACTGGTTGCCTCCCATAGGACCTGACCGGAGAGGCTGGGGATTGAAACTATAGCCCAGGTATGTGCCCTTGACCAGGAATCAAACCTGCGACCCTTTGGTCTGAGGGCTGAGACTCTTAACTGCTGAGCCAAACCAGCCGGGGCCCGAATGAGTTTCTTTAGAAGCCTGGATATTTTGGGTATTATGTTTTGAGATTCTGGGTCTTTGAACCTTGATGTTTTAGCTGCCTTTATTGACAGTGCTCCCGCAGGGATTGTTGCGGGAGATACGAGTCCAGACTCCCTAACTGCCTCCATTGATACTGGAGTGTGTGGGCTCCTCCTTACTGGGGATGATAGTTCCACCTTCTCACAGGTCTCCACTGACTCTTCGATGGGGTGGCTTGTTGTTGCTGGGCCCTGGTGAAAGTCCCGACTCTCCACTAGGCCTTCTCTGATGCCTTGCCGCCAAGGAGATGGGGAAATACCTCATGACTGCCAGATGAGGGGGGCCGGGCTCACTGCCAGATTCCACCGGTGAAAGTCCTGACTGCCTGCTTGGCCTCCCCTTTCACCTTCTTGGCAGGGAGTTGCGTGCCTCATTACAGCCTCGTGAATGTGGAGGTCTAGGTTTCCCTGTTGGCCTTTGCTCATGTGAGTGGGGGTGGAGGAGACGTTTTTTCTTTAGTCTTTAATTGGTATGCAGTGGTTACTGTCTAGAAGTTTTCTGTTGTACTAGACTCCTTTTTTTAAAAATCCTCATCTGAGGATATCTTTCTGTTTATCATCAGATAGAGTGGGAGGGAGAGAGAGAGAGAAACATCGATGTGAGAGAGACACATCAACTGGTTGCCTCCCGCACGACCCTACCAAGCCCGGGACGAACTGCAGCCGAGGTATTGCCCTTGACCAGAATCAGACCCGTGACTCATTGGTCCACGGGCCGATGCTCCAGCCTCTGAGCCAAACCAGCCCGGGCTGCCCTTCTGGTTCTTTAGCTAGAGAGACAGGCTTTGGGGGGAGGCTTTTTAAACTACATGTTTTTGGGATACTGGGTTTTGTAGCTCCATGTCTAGGACACATGAGGCAAGAAAACCCAGGGAGCTCACCAATGTGTCATTTCTCGAGTCTTGAGATGCCTGCCCACTCTGCCATCTCTCCATCTTTCATTTCTTACATTTGTTTTATGTACAGGATGGGGCAAAAGTAGTTGTTTGTATGGAAAATAATATAATAATTAATAAACAGTGATACAAGAATAAACTCTGTGTTTTATGTACTCACAACTGTAAACCTACTTTTGACTCACCCTGTATATTGCCTGGGGATTTTAGTTGTATTTAGCAGGAAGAATAGAGAAAAGTACCTCTACTTTTCAGAAGCAGGAGTATCCTTATGACAGATATTTTAAAGTGATAGTGTCTTGTACTATATATACTTTAAGAATGGCAGGAGAACTTCCCTGAAAACATTACTTTCAATGTATATGTGGTTTGCATTTATATAATTTACATAATTCTATAATCAGATGAAAGCCCCTTACAATGATAACATCCCATTGTTTCTTTTCACTGATTGTTATAATGATCCATCAAAAGATTAGAATAAGCCCTGGCCGGTTTGGCTTAGCGGTTAGAGCCTTGGCCTTCGGTCTGGAGTGACCCAGGTTTGGTTCCCGCTAAGGGCATGTACCTAGTCTGCAGTTGGTCCCCGGCCCTGGTTGGGTCGTGTGGGAGGCAGCCACTCGATGTGTCCCTTTCACGTCGATGTTTCTCTGTCTCTTCCTCTCCCTCCCTCCCACTCTATCTGAACAAAAAATGAAAAAATGTCCTTGGGCGAGGATGAAAAAAAAAAAAAAAGAAGATTAGAATAAAATATGTCCAGCTAGTGTGGCTCAGTGGAGTGAGCATTGTCCCATGGACTGGGAGGTCCCAGTTTGATTCCTGGTCAGGGCACATGCCTGGGTTTCGGGCTTAATCCCCATTGAGGGGCGTGTAGGAGGCAGCCAATCAATGTTTCTCTCTCACATTGATGTTTCTATGTCTCTCTCCCTCCCTCTTTCTCTCTTTAAAAAAAAAAAAAAGTCAATAAAACCATATTAAAAAAAAAACATTAGAATAAAATAGTTGTTCTCCCTATAATATAGGACAGAAATTTTCAACCTTTTTTATTTGATGGCACACATAAACTGATTACTAAAATTCTGTGGCACACCAAAAAATACATTATATTTTTTGATGATCTGAAAGGAAAAAAAGAAGGTATAATTTTGATTCATTCATACTGGATGGCTATTGTGTTGGCTGTTGTCATTTTTTTATTTGACAGCCTAAGGAAAAAGAGGCTTATGCCCCTGACTAAATAAATAGGTACTGAATGTTGTAAAACTTCTTGTGTCACCCCAGTTGAAAAGCTGGCCTAGGATGCAGAGTGGACAACTAGAACGTCATCGTATCATAGGAATCAAGGAGGAGCAGAGTGGAAAAGGGGGCTAGATAATTGCGCATAATTATGTCTGACCAAGAAGTCACTGGCTACTTTGTTCAAAAGCTAAATGCACCAAATCTATAGGTATGTAGGCATCGCCTGACTGACCTCAGACATGAAAGGTTCCATGGAGGGGGGACTGTGTTCTGGAGAGAGGATCGAGGTGGAAAGGAAGCTCAGAACAGGAAGAAACTGCTAAGAGACGGGGGTGATGGTAGTGTTCTCATGGACTGAATTAGCATCCAGTTAGTGAATGGTCTTAAAACTGTTGGAATTAGAGTTTGCTGAGGCGGAAGGTCACACTCCATGGAAGGTTTTCAGTTTTGACCCTTTCAGTAAATGTTTACCGAACTCCTGTGCTTGAATTGTGCTTGATGCTGGGAATATAGGAGTGGGGGAAACAGTGGATGACAAACCATGGGATGGATTTTTTATGTACTTGTATTTGTAATTTTGTTTACTGACCCCCTGAAAGTCAGGGTCTAGCAAGGAAGATAGTCAACCACATAATTTCGAATACCATGGGTGGTCTCTTACTGAACCAGACAGTAGAGTAGGAATGATTTCAAAGAGCAAAGGTGAATAATTAAAGAGTACATCAGTTTTACTAGAGTAGGAAGAAACGGGAAACAAGAGGTAGGTTGGGGTGATGCTGGGCTGGGGAGTTGGGCATGTTCCATATGAAATGAGCAGCTGTCGGAGTGATGCAGCCTCTGCTGTGTGGCGGCATCACTCTGAAAGCATGTGATGGTCTGTATGGTACCGTCTGGCGCTGACCAAGATGCACTGACGCCTTTCAATTGGCTAATTGGGCCTGAGAATCTGAAGTCACTTGCAACTGAATTCATTGTGAGAAAATGGGTATTTATGCACATATCATACTCTTAGTACCCAAGTATACAGTGTCAGTAACATAAAACTTTAAGACTGTAAATATGGCCCTGGCCGATGTGGCTCAGTTGTTTGGAGCGTCATCCCGTACCCTAAAAGGTTACAAGTTCAATACCTAGGTTGTGGGTTTGATCTCTAGTCAGTGCATATACGGGAAGCAACCGATGGATGTTTCTCACATTAATATTTCTCTCTCTCTCTAAAATAAATAAACATATCCTTGGGTGAGGATTACATTTTTTTTTAAGTATAAATATGTTGTACCAAAGTTAAGGCAGTTTATGATATGGTTTTTGTCTCAGTCTGACAAGAATTTTACTTCCCCTGATAGGAGGGTCATTATTGTTAGAAAATAATTTTCTGCGTTCTTAAAAAGTGTTCCAAAGCAGAAGTTTAAGGAAAGCAAACCATGGACACACTGGAATTATTCACTACCCCAGAATTCATGTGCTGATTTAGCCCATATAAAGTTTGTTGTTTTATGTTATTTAATTTATTTATTGAATCATTTAATCCTCATCTGAGGATATCTTTCCATTGATTTTCTTTTTTTTTGGTACGTGCCCCTAGCAGGAACCGAACCCGGGACTCTCTGGTCAGCAGGCCAACGCTCCAGCCGCTGAGTCAAACCGACCAGGGCTCCATTGATTTTCAGATAGAGTGGAAGGGAGGGAGGGAGAATGAGAGAGAAACATTGATGTAAGAGAGACACATCAGTTGGTTGCCTTCTACACAACTTTGACCTGGGCCAGGGATTGAACCTGCAACCCAGGTATGTGCCCTTGACTGGGCATCAAACCTGAGACCCTTCGGTCTGAGGGCTGATGCTCTAACTGCTGAGTCAAACCGGCCAGGGCTTTTGTTTTATTAAAAAAAATTTTTTTAAGCCTTTTTTTTTTAACAAATATGATTTTATTGATTTTTTTAGAGTGAGGAAAGGAGAGAGAGAAACATCTATGTGAGAGAGAAACATCAGTCGGCTGCCTCCTGCATGCCCCCTACTGGGGATCAAGCCCACAACCCACGCATGTCTCCTGACTGGGAATCAAACTGGGACCTCTCAGTCCATGGGACAATGTTCAATCCACTGAGCCACACTGGCCGGGCCATTTTTAAAAAATATTTTTATATAACATGTTCTAACAACTGAAGTTACTCATTTACACTTTTCAACCTATTAAAATGAGGGACCCACTCATATAATGATTGTGGCATGAAATTAATTACCTTTCCTGTAGTTCAGTCAAGCTTACTGAACTACAAGAGAAGACGGTCTAGCAGCCACTGCCCCGCCCCCACCCCACATATGCACACCTTGTCCAGATGAGAAATGAAGTCCATTCACGTAGGCCCATTGTTTAAAGGAACTGATATGGTAGACTTGAACTCAGAGGGATCATGACCTTACTTCCCAGTTTTCTTTAACGCCTATATATTGTTTGAAAATTATTAGAAAAATGGTTGTGGGGAAAATTGATAGCACTGCTAAATGTAACTCATGGTGGTTTTGCAGGCTGAAGGTTTTGGTAGTTTAATAATTTGGGTATCTATAAGTCCAGTTGGTATGTTCTGCACCGTAAGCAGGATTGTACCTACCAAGTTCACGTGGATATTATTATCCCTTTCCTAAAGATTCTAATAAGAGGTAATTTAGGTCCTTCTTACACTACTTCTATGTGTCATAAAATAACCCTAACCAATAATGTTCTTTCTCCTATATCTGACTTTCTAAACCTCCCTGCTTTAATTTAAACCTTTTCTTCTTATTTCATCATTTGAAGGTATTGTTGAGATTTGGATGATAAATCATGGAGTGGATTATATGTACTCACATTTGTAATTTAGTTTACCCTGTGAGAGTCTATCATATGAACACAATCTAATAATTTTGAATTCTCTTTCTTTAAGGTATTGTGTCCAGATCTGGCACCCTGACTTATGAAGCGGTTCACCAAACAACACAAGTTGGATTGGGGCAGTCTTTGTGCATTGGTAAGGGATTTGTGCTAAAATCATTTCATTGGAATGCAGTATTTTTATTGAATGAGTATGATAATAATTGCTTTGATTATTTGCAAGAGGTTTTGATACTATTTCATTAAAAATGCATTGATCTCTAGTTTAATTTGCGTAAGTATGAAGCTCTACTGTCTTTTTCAAGATTCATCGTCCAAGATTCCATGTTAAAGAATAAAATCCTTAGACATGTGACTCAGGAAGAGCTTTGGTGCCTGAAACATCACTTACTTTTCTTGCCATGAACAAGCAGCCCTTCCTTTTAGGACTTTTGTTACTATAATTATCATTTGCTATCATTATAAGCTATATAATTCAATCTTCAGAGTTGCTGAATCCTTTGCCATTCATTATCTGATTCTTAAGGCACCCCTCTAAGGTACCTCTGAGTTGAAAAGTTGCTGAGAAAATCTAGGCTGAGGAAGGTTGAACTTCCCAGTACTGCTCTTTTTGCAACATGCTGCCTCCCACTTTTAAAAGAAAACGGTTTGCCCTGATCTGTTAGCTCAATGGTTGTGCATGGTCCCATGCACAGAGAGGTCGTTGGTTCGATTCCCAGTCAGGTACAAGCCCACGTTGCAGACTAGATTCCTAATAAGGTCCAGCCAATCAGTGTTTCTCTCTTTCTCCCCCTTCCTCTCTCACTCTAAAATCAATCAATAAATAAATAAAATAAAAAGGTTTTTACATTTTAAAATAATTTTGGTATTTGCCAAAAGCCAGGCAAATTTTTCATTTTCATAAGTATTTCTTCAGATTCTTAGAATAGCTTTTAAAAACTTTTCAAAGGTAGCTTTTTAAATACAAAATTATAACATGTGGCCATGGGGTCTTTTTAAGGACTCAGATCCATAAAATCAGTATTGGAAACATGAATCGGGCTTTTCTGTGAGTAAAGCACAATCTAGACTCTAGGGAACTTAGTCTGATGGAGAATAAGAAAGGCTTTGGAACAGTGTTGCCAATTCCATCTTCTCCAGCCTCTGCTTTTAATTTGTATATCAAGACCAATAATGCATTTGTCACAGGTTGGAAGAGTAGGAGGTGGCAGCTCTGACGTGTGTAAGACGCAGTGCTCCACGCGTCTGTCACTCAGTGAATGCTGCTGCCCTTCCTGAGCTTTATTCTTCAGAGATGCATTAAAGGTCGGAAATCAGTTCTGCCTTCAGTGAGTGTATAACTAAAAAAATGTGGCATCCAGTATGTAAGGAACATTTACTATAATTTTATTCAAGTACTTGTTCTTAAATGTCATGTGCTTGGAATAGAGCACATAGACTATGTGTAGTCTCTGTCATCACCCACTCTGGATCTAAGGGGAGGAGGGGTCAGGGCACCCTCCACCTTTTCCCTCACTGGGACTTGTGAGCAGTTCCTCTGAAACGTGCCTCTTCAAACAGTTACCTTGTGCAAAGAAATTTGTTAAATGTTTAATCAGATAAGACATTCTTGCTTGCAACACAAACATACATTTTCTTTTTCTTTTTTAATTTTTTTTTTCATGGCTTTTTAGAGAGAGAGGAAGGGAGAGAGAGAGAGTGAGATAGAAGCATGGATGAGAGAGAACATTGATTGGCCCCGCCTTCCGCATGCCCCCCATTGGGGATTGGGCCCACAACCTGGGCATGTGCCCTGACTGGGAATTGAACCGGCAATCTCTTGGTGCATGGGGTCGATGCTCAACCACTGAGCCACACTGGTTGGCAAATACACATTTCCTCAAAGTGCTCATTTTTAAACAGTTATTTAGGGAGAATTGTGTGGAAAGGAAGAGGATTAATAAAGGAGCTAAAAAAAAAACAAACGTATTTCTTTGTATCAGAATCCATCCGTAATTTAGGATTCATGTAATACTGTAGACAAATAAATGTACCATTTTGTAATATTTTAAAAATATTTAATGCAGAAGTAATGATACATTTGAGAATATTGGTGAGAGGGGTAGGCAAAATAAGAAACCAGTTGAAACATTTTTCAACCTAATTTTCATGCTGTTGATATTCTTTGACTTTTTCAGGCATTGGAGGTGATCCTTTTAATGGAACAGATTTTATTGACTGCCTTGAAATTTTTCTGAAGGATCCAGCCACAGAAGGCATCATATTGATTGGTGAAATTGGTGGTAATGCAGAAGAAAATGCTGCAGAATTTTTGAAGCAACATAATTCAGTAAGTTTGGCTTTGGGAAAATATACCTCTTTGCTCTTGAATAATACCACTGGCTTGTTTTTATTTTTTAAAGATTAAGTTTTCAAGAAAACAAGATGAAATCAAAACCTCTCTGAGCTGGGCCTTTATTTTTTTCTAATTAATTACTTTAATTTTTTAAATTGCCTTTTAGAGACAGGATTGGAGAGGGGTTAACAGAGACACATTGATCAGCTGCCTCCTGTAAGACCCCTACCAGAGATCGAGCTCACAATCTGGGCATGTGCTCTGACCAGGAATCAAACTGGCAACCTCTTGGTGCATGGGATGATGCTCAACCAGCTGAGCCGCATTGGCCAGAGCTGGGCCTTTAGTACTGGCCACTTAGAAAACTCTTTCTGGCCCTGGCCAGTTGCTCAGTGGGTAGAGCATCGGCCTACAGCCCGGAAAGACCTGGGTTCGGTTCCCGCTAAGGGCATGTACCTCGGTTACAGTTTATCCCCGACCCTGGTTAGATCGTGTGGGTGGCAACCACTCGATGTGTCCCTTGCACATCGATGTTTCTCCCCCCCTCCCCCTCTCTGAACAAAAAATACCGAAAAATGTCCTCGGGTAAAGATTAAACAAATTTAAAAAAAACAAACACATTATTTAAAGAAAAAAAAAACTTTTTCTGGGTTGGTTCCTCTTGTCCTTTCCCACAGTTCCTATTCTCTACTCTGAGTTTCCCTCCCTAGGTATCACTCCACACACCTGTGGCAGGTGAGTTGGTCTGCTGAATGGAGAACCATTTAGGTCATCAGCCTGGAAGCCCTCAAAGCCCTCACTTGACCTGCCAATGTGCTTTTTCTTTCTCTTGACCTTAGGGGCTATAAGTAGTCTTTCTCATTTTCAAAGCTGACTTAAAGATCCTACCTTTTATATCCTTTTCCAATCTCATCTCCCTCAGGCTTCATTTTTTTTTTTGCAGAGTAGTACTTCCCTTCAGAGTTCAAGTAGGAATGCTTATTATCTATGTCCTATGAAGGCTTTTCTTGTTGCCTCTCTCTTAGAATTAAACATAAAGAGTGGTGTGGAATTGCATCATAATTTCATTTAGCCCAAGGGAATTAAGCTCTGTTTCTGGGGTGAAGAAGAGAGAGAGGGCGCAGTAAGGACGGAAGCAACTCGGTGCCCGCCAGCCCCCACTCAGTGACAGGGTGCTCTAGACGTTGTGACAGCAAAAGAGTTTCGTGATGTCCTCGACACTGACAGATCAAGAAGCACCTTCAGGAGGCCAGGCAGGTGGGAGGAGATAACTATCTGTGTTTTTTTGTAAGAAATTGAGGAGTGAAGGAATTAAATGCCACAGAAAAATAATGACTACTGGAGAGTTAAAGGAACTAATAGTATCACCTACAGTGTAGGATACACAAAATGCCTATTTATGTGTGATTTAAGGGATATTCAAGGGCTGTTTTGACTATACTTGTTTTTCTTCTGTAGAAATTTTAAACTCTAATCTCTGTATAAGATGTAACTCAGTGTTTTCCTTACTTTCTGGATCTCTTTCCTTTTTTTTTTTATCCTCACCCGAGGACATTTTTGTACTTATCTTCAGATAGAATAGGAGAGAGAGAGAAACATTGATGTTAGGGAGACACATAGACTGGCTGCCACCCACACGACCCCAACCGGGGCCGGGGATAAACTGCAGCCGAGGTACGTGCCCTTAGCAGGAACCGAACCCGGGCCTCTCTGGTCCACCGGCTGAAGCTCTAATTGCTGAGCCAAACCAGCCAGGGCTCTCTTTTCTTACTTTTTATCCACTCCCTAATCCTCAGCACTCTGGCATCTGTCTGCTACTTAAAATCTGTGTGACCTTGGACATGTTACTTAACTTCACTGTGCCTCAGTTTTGTCTTAGAAAAATAGGGCTACAGCAGTGCCTACCTCCTAGTGTACAACACTGTGGAGCTTAAGTGTCTTAGGAACAGCCTGGCCGGTGTGGTACAGTGGTTGAGCATCAACCCATGCAACAAGAGGTCACCCACCAGTCAGGGCACATGCCCAGGTTGTGGGCCTGATCCCCAGTGGGGGACATGCAGGAGGTGGCCAGTCGATGTTCTCGCTCATTGTTGTTTCTATCTCTCCCTCTCCCTTCCTCTCTCTAAAGTCAATAAAGAAAAAAAATTGTTTTTGAATAAAAATAAATGTCTTAGGAACGTATAGCAGAGTCACACCAGGCACATAAGTAAGCATTCTTATGTATTAATTTTTAAAAATGGATTGTATATTTTTAAGTATGTTTTTATTGATTTAGAGAGAGAGGAAGGGAGAGAGAGATAGAAACATTGATGTGAGAGAGAAACATTGATCGGCTCCCTTCTGCACATCCCCCACTGGGGATCGAGCCCACAACCTGGTCATGTGCCCTGACCGGGCATGTGCCCTGACCGGGAGTCAAACCAGGACGTCTCAGTCCATGGGTCAACGCTTGATCCACTGAGCCACACCAGCTGGGCTAAATTGATTTTTTAGAGAGAAAGAGAAACATCTATTGGCTGCCTCCTGCCCGGCCCCTTCTGGAGATCAAGCCTGCAACCTGGGCATGTGTCCTGACCGGACTGGCCACCGCTTGGTGTCTGGGATGACACTCAGCCAACTGAGCCACACTGGCCATGGCATAAGCGCTCTTATTGAGCTGTTTGCTGCTGCTGTTGAATCTTACTCTCCTGACGTTGCTTTTGCAGAGGTCACCAGTGGCCTCAATAAATTCATCCTCTCCATCCTGTTTCTTTCTATGGGTCCTTCTCTTCTTTCTTCCATGGAGGTACTTTCAGTGCCTGCTGCTGAAGTGTGAGTGATTATTTTATATCACATCATCCTTTATGCAGCTTTCAAGACAAACCTCCGAACCATCTTATATCTCATTTTCTTTCACTCAGTTCCTAACGTGTCTCTGAGGTCTCAGTAGTAGGTTGAGATTCAGAGCATTGTTTATAATTAGTTCTTCTGATCTGGCTCAGGCCCTCGTCATATCTCACCTGGCCCATGTCGATAATTTTTTATTCCTGATAGCTCTGTCCTTTCCCTCCCACCACCCAGGCCATCCTGCTTATGGCCCCCCAATCACCTGCTCTTGAAGCACAGACGTCGGTGCCTCCACCCTGCTGGTTCGGGGCCGTCACATTGCCCGTTTCATGTAGATGAGGCCAGACTTAGCAGGGTACCAGCCCCCCACACACCACTCTGCCCTTCCTTCTCAGAACCAGGGCCCATCTGACGTGCCAGTTGTTTTCATTCCGCTTGCCTTTGCTGTTCCTTCCCCAAGGCATGCCTCGTATCTGACGATCGTGGGCAGTAGGGAAGGATCCGTGGTACCCAGCCCCGTCCCTGGCACAACAGGCACCAGTACATGTTGAATAAGTGAAAGAATAAAGTAGATTGTTAGGTGATTGGAGTAAGATGTTATTAGAGTCTCTTGAATTCAGAAAGTATAGTTTGAAATTTAGGTAAAAATTGACTTCTTTTTAGAAAAAAAGATTTATGTTAATATGACATGACACTTTGTTAAATGATTTTTAAAGTGTATTTAGGTCCTGGCCGGTTTGGCTCAGTGGTTGGAGCATTGGCCGGCGGACCAGAGAGTCCCGGGTTCAGTTCCCAATAGGGGCATGTACCAATAAATAAATAAATAAATAAATAAAATAAAATAAAGTGTATTTAGGCCCAATTCTGAATTCCTTGAATAGCTTAGAATTTAATGGGCAAAACTAAACTCGTACATCTAATTTCATTTGACACATATTTTTCTATTCCTGGTTAATTCTTATGGAGCTACTTTTTGTTTAGGACCTGCTGTATACAGAATTCTAGCCCTGGTCAGTGTGGCCCGATGGTTAGAGCGTCGGTCTGCAGATGGAAGGGTTGTGATTTTGATTCCTGGTGAAGGGCATGTACCTGGGTTATAGGTTCAAACTCTGGCTCCGGTCTCTCTCACATCGATATTTCTCTCTCTCCACCCCTCTATCCCTCCCTTCCACTCTCTCTAAGAATCAATGGAAAAAATACCCTCAGGTGAAGATTAACAAAAAAAAAAAAAAGGATTCTAGGTGGAACAGTTGAGTTGACATATAGAACACTTAGCACAATTCCGGCACACAGTGAATTCTCAGCAATGTCCACTGCTACAAACATTGTTACAATGACTAAATATTTCCCAGACTAGTCTTGTTTAAGCCTTACTTTGACCCTTTGTCCTCCTCTCACGAGTGAGGAAGCTGGCATAGAGAGGTAATGACTGGTCTGTGGTAAGGGTACAACAGAGAGTGAGGGCTGGCATTCGTACCCAGCTTTGCCTGACTTCTCCGTCACGCCATGGAGGGGCTGGGGATAGATTTCAGGAACTGAGGACAGGAGTCAGTGCTCCTCTGCGTCTGCGCAGACAGCACAGAGGGCATCCTGCCTGGTCATTCTGTCTTTAGGCTGTCACTCTTGTCGTCATTTCTAAGTCCTGTTTTCAGACCAGTTCCCCCAAAGCCTGCTCGTTGTATTTTTCTCTGCTTAAAAATCTCAGGTGACTCTTCTTTGTTGATGGAATTGAATGTAAACTTGTTTGGCATTTTAGGCTCATCATAATCCTGTTCCTTTCTAGTACGGTATTCCCACTATTTGAGTATAGGGACACAGGGCTAAGTGGAATTAGTGCCATTCGTATATGAGATGCTCATGTCCTCTGCAGAGCCCACGAGCGAATGAATAAGTTACTTGTGGAGTCCTTCCTTCCTGCCTTTTTTTCTGTTAATCCTCACCCAAGGATATTTTCCCATTTATTTTTAGATAGCGTGGGGAGGGGGGACATCCATGTGAGAGAGACACATCGATTGGTTGCCTCCTGCATGACCCCAACCGGGGCCGGAGATTGAACCTGCAATCAAGATATGTGCCTTTGACTGGAAAATGAACCCACAACCCTTCGGTCCACAACCCTTCGGTCCTTGGGCCAGTGCTGTAACCGCTGAGCCAAATCGGCTGGGACTGGAGTCTTCTTTTTAAGGGAGGTCGTAGTCCGTCAGGGGGTTCATACTTTACTAGGGAACACGGGAAATAAGTGACAGCCAGAGTACGAGTGTATCAGTAGAGGTGTGTGAGAGGCACAGCAGGGCCACCGGGCAGATGACTGACTATAGGGCATTTGTGGAGAGTGTGGGAGGAGGAGCCAGGAAGGCGTATGGAGGAGGAGTCAGAGGTCTCCAGAGTTAAGTGGAAATTTGCCAGGAATCCAAGGGGATGGGAAACATCTCAGCACAGGGACCGAGGCAGAGCAGTCTGGAATTACGGGAGATGAGCGCAGGGAGAATGGTGGGGGACGAGGCTGAGCGGGCAGGTCGGGCCACATGGCACCTGGTCGCTGGCACCGCAGCGCGATGGGGCGGGGGAGGCCGCTGCGCCGGCCATCGTTCACGGCCATGCACGCCAGTAAAAACAAACACAGAACCCCCCCCGAAAGCCAATTTGATTTAAGAATGTCCTTGATGAAGCACTAGAGATCATTAATTTAATTAAATCTTAACCCTGGAGTCAGTTTGTGATGAAATGGGAAGTAAAGCACTTTCCCAATTGAGTTGTGAGTGGAACTAGCTGTTTTTTCTTTCTTTTTTTTTTTATCCTCACCCGAGGACATTTTTTCTATTTTTTGTTCAGATAGAGTGTGGGAGGGAGAGAGAGAGAGAGAAACATCGACGTGAAAGGGACACGTCGAGTGGTCGCCACCCACACGACCCAACCAGGGCCGGGGACAAACTGCAACCGAGGTACGTGCTCTTAGCGGGAACCGAACCCGGGTCTCTCAGGACTGCAGGCCGACGCTCTAACCGCTGAGCCAAACCGGCCAGGGCACTAGCTGCTTTTTCATGGAACACCAATTTTACCCGAAATAACAACTGCAGACAAACTGGCTATTCAGACTTAGGTATTTGGCAGACCTCAAAAATGAACAAAGCAGCCCCGGCTGGTTTTCTCAATGATTAGAGCGTCGGCCTATGGACCAAAGAGTTTCGGGTTAGATTCCGGTCAAGGGAATGCACCTCGGTTTCAGTTTGTCCCTGGTCCTGGTCGGGGTCGTATAGGAGACAACCAATCGATGTGACTTTTTTTTTTCTCTCCCTCCCTCCCACTCTATCTGAAAATTAATGGAAAAATATCCTTGGGTGAGGATTAAAAAAAAAAATGAACAAAGCAAACCTGCTATATCAAGGAAAATAACTCATAATATTTTGTTGCCAATGATACATTTTGAACTTTCAAGGGAATGTTAATATTTTGGAAAACTTGTATCTGCCACTGTGAACTTGACAACGCCCCTCTACTAAAGACTTTTCTAATGAGATTTGTGGTGATACTGATGAATGTGATTTGTTGAATGTGATTTGTTGATACTGAATGATGAAATGTGTCAGCGTTGGGAAAATCTGCATAACTCAGCGAACCTATATTTTCAACCTGGCCAGTAATGTTACAGAAGCATAAAGATACATTTAAAGTGCAAAATAGACGGATAGATTTTAAAGTAACAAAGGACAAAAAAGTCTATTGCTGTGGTTTCAGATTCCAGCATTGCATCTAACCTTTAAGAAATTACCACTTGATAAAACAACAATGAGGTATTATTACCTCACACCTGTCAGAGTGGCCACATCAACAAATCATCAAACAACAAGTGTTGGCGAGGGTGAGGAGAGGAGGGGATTCTAGTACACTGCTGGTGGGAATGCAGACTGGTGCAGCCACTATGGAAAACAATATGGTGTTACCTCAGAAAATTAAAATTCCATTTGACCCAGTGATCCCACTTCTAGGAATATATCCTAAGAAGCCTGAAACACCAGTCAGAAAGAATATATGTACCCCCATGTTTTACAATAGCTAAGATCTGGAAACAGCCCAAATGTCCATCAGTAGACGAATGGATAAAAAAGCTGTGGTACGCATACACAATGGAGTACAATGCAGCTGTAAGAAAGAAAGATCTCTTATCCTTTGAGACAACATGGAGGGACCTGGAGAGTATTATCCTAAGCGAAACAAGCCAAGGAGAGAAAGACAACTACTATCACATGATCTCACTTATTTGTGGAATATAATGAACATAACATTCTGAGGAACAGGGTAGTCCAGCGACATGGAAGTGGGTTACAGACTGACAATCCCCACAACAGGAGGTGGGGGGGAGGAGGTAAACCATAGAACTTATATGTATGAACAATGGACGTGGACAATAAAGCTGGGGATAGGCGGGGAGGGTGGGGGAGGGGTGTATCAGTGTGGAAAAAAGGAGAAACATCTGTAACAAAAATAAATTAGTTAATTAAATTAGAAAAGAAAAGAAATTACCACCTGAGCCTGGCTGGTGTGGCTCAATGGTTGATCGTTGACCCATGCACCAAGAGGTCACTGGTTCGATTCCTGGTCAGGGCACATACCCAGGTTGTGGGCCTGATCCCCAGTGGGGGGCATACGAGAGGCGGCCAGTCGATGTTCTCTCTCACTGATGTTTCTATCTCTCCCTCTCCCTTCCTTTCTCTCTAAAAATCAATAAATAAATGAAGAAAAAAAGAAAAGAAATTACCGCTTTAGTCCTAGCCAGTGTGGCTAGTTGGTTGGAACATTGTCCTGTGCACTAGAAGATTCGATTACCAGTCAGAGTACATACCCAGGTTACAGGTTCGATCCCCAGTTGGGGCACTTCTCTCACAATGATGTTTCTCTCTCTCTCCATCCTCCTGCTTCTCTCTCTTTAAATAGCCCTGGTAGGTTTGGCTCAGCAGTTAGAGCATCGGCGTGAAGACCAGAGGGTCATGGGTTGGACTCCCAGTTAAGAGCACATTCCTGGGTTGCAGGTTCCATCCCTGGCCGTCATAGGGGTCGTATGGAAGGCAACCGGTCTATGTATCTCACATAGATGTTTTTCTCTCTCGCTCTCTCCTCCCTCTCTTCCACTCTATCTAAAATATGAATGGAAAAATATCCTCAGGCGAGGATTAACAGCAACATGTCCTGGGGTGAGGATTAAAAAAATAAATGACCACTTGAAGAAGTTCACGTAATATCAAAGAAGAATGTCCACAATTATCTGACAGGCTGTTAAAATACTTCTCCCTCTTCCAACTACATATGTGTGTGAGGCTGGATTTTCTTGTACTTCAGTCAACATATTCTAATATATTGAGTGCAAAAGGAGATATTAAAATTCGTTTGCATTTTAGACATTCAAGAGTTGCAAAAATGTAAAATAATGCCACTCTTCTCACTAAATGTTTGTTGTTAATCCTCACCCAAGGATATTTTTCTGTTGACTTTTAGAGAGCGTGGAAGAGAGGAGGGAGGGAGGAAGAAAGAGACACACATCAATGTGAGGCACTTCAATTGGTTGCCTCCTGCATGACCAAGACTGGGGCCCAGGATCGAACCTGCAACCCAGTTACATGCCCTTGACTGGAATTGAACCCAAGACTCTTTGGTCCGTAGGCTGACACTCTAACCACTGAGCCAAACTGGCCAGGGCTCACTAAACGTATTTTAAAAAATAGTTTTAAAATTAATTTTAAATGAATTACTAAGTATTTGTAAAAGTTTTCCATTTTAATTTTTAATACAGTACATATCAGATATAATCTATGTGAACAAAAGTTCTTTGGGGTCCTCAAGAATTTTTATAAGTATAAGGTGTCCCAAGACCAAATGATTTGAGAACTGCTGGTCTAGGGGAATGTGTTGGTGCCTAAGTGAGGGCACTCAGATTCCACTTGGCTCATGTTCTGCCTTCCACAGGCCTCTGCTTTACCTGAATCCCTCATTGCCTCTGGACTCCCATATGAACATGGTGTTTTCATTCATCATGACACTTAACCACCGATTGCTTTAGGCATCTCTTAGCTGATCGATGTGTATACATATATATTTTATATTATTTCTCAACTACACTATCAGCCCAGAGCACGGGAATTCTACGTTTTCTTTTTTTCAGAACGTAATACAGTGCTCTTTGTGCACATAGAGGTAGCACACTAGAATGGATTTGTGTTGAATAAATTAATCCTGATATTCCTTCTTAGACATCGTAGAATTTTGGAGGGGAAAGGGCCCTTTGCCATCAATCTAGTGTAGCCATTTCGTTTCACAGGTGAGGAAGCTGAGACCTAGAGAGGGCATGTGCCTTGTCCACTGGCCTGCAGCTGAGTCATTTGGAAATTGTCTGGTGACTCATTCCTTTCCAGTGTACCTTCCCACCTCATTTTAGCAGATTTGTTAAGGGTGAACTGGTAATGAATTAAGACAAAGCAGGTTGAAATAAAACAGCCTGATCCTGTGTGTGTGTGTGTGGTTTTTTTTGGAGAGAGGTGAGGAAGAGAGAGAGAGAAACATCGAGTGGTTGCCACCCACACTGCCCCAGCCGGGGCCGGGGACAAACTGCAACCAACGTACGTGCCCTTAGCAGAAACCGAACCCAGGTCCCTATGCTCCACGGCCGACGTTCTAACTGCTGAGCCAAACCAGCCAGGGCCTGATTATGTGTTTTAATTCATTATATCACAAATCACGTAACGTGTATTTTCAAGTGTGCTTTTTTGTATGCATTAGTACAGCAGCCCTGTCCAAGCCACTTACTGACAGTCGGGAAACTTATGTTCAGTGTTGATCAACTTCTTCATCAGAGTGTTTAAAATATCACTTTTCAGGGTCCCAAAGCCAAGCCTGTGGTGTCCTTCATTGCTGGGTTAACGGCTCCTCCCGGCAGGAGAATGGGTCATGCGGGGGCAATTATTGCTGGAGGAAAAGGTGGAGCTAAAGAGAAGATCTCCGCCCTTCAGAGCGCAGGAGTTGTGGTCAGCATGTCCCCGGCACAGCTGGGAACCACCATCTACAAGGTGAGCTGCGGGCACCGGCCGACTCTGCGTCATGGCCTTAGCCTGTGGGCCACACTGGGCACCTGGAAGCGTGGCCTTCCCTCCAGGTCTTCCCTGTGTGTGGTTTCTGGCGCAGCTTAACAGTCACTAGCAGCTCTTTTGATGTCCTAATGTCCTAAGCGGCCATGGCCAGGAATGATGTTCTGATTACAAACTTCCTTTCTAACCGCTGGGATTTTCTCTTTTGTGAATGCAAGATATAATATACAGGAAAGCATTTCAGAGCCATAAATACCACAGATGCCATTTTAGGAGCAGTGCGGAAAATTGCCTTGTGTTTTGTTTTTCCCGTGGAGGGCCTTTTGGGTACAGCTACCCTGCTCCCATAGGTTTCTGTTTCCAGGGCGAGGGGTTGAAGGCCGAGCAACAAGAAATTAAAGCTGGATGAAGAGGGAGTTGGGGCGCAGGGAGATTTATGGAAGAGGGTGGGGGTCCAGGCTTTAGTTTCAGGCCCTGGCTGGGTGGGGAGGCCATTGTTGTTATGGGCTGGAGGGTGACTGCTAAACATTTGCCTTTCTTTTCCCTTTTTAATGGAACACTGTAGTTTCAAGTATTCTAAGATCTGGTATCTTCAGTAATCTCTGCAGTGATTCTCAGCCTGTTTCTTTGAGTGATCATTTAAGGCTCTCTATTTTTGTGATGATTATAGCCTTGACAAAAAAGCAAACAAACACCAAAACTTTGTAGGCATGCTGAAAACAGCCCAAATTGTGTTCCCGAGAGGGAACAGTGCAGTCTTTAGGATATAAAATGGACTCCTTGTTTTATCGAATCTTTGCATTATACTGTCTTTTGGAATGTGACACTTTGTGCCATAGGTTTGGAAGAAATCTGGGTTATTAGAGTGTGTGAAGAGAGATTTTATTTAAGAGGGAAAGAAGGGAAAAAGCAAATGCTTAAAAATTCACACTGGAGACATGCGTTACCATTTCACTCCAGTATGTGGCAGCAGACACCCCAGCATTTGTATTCGGGATTCTCAGTGCAGTGTCCTGTACAGATTTCTGATGTTCTTGACACTTTGTTCAAACCTTAACTGAACCTGTGTTTAGTTTTATTCCCTGAGAAACTTAGCAAACCTGATTCCATGGCCTTAGTAGAAGGGCCAGTGTGGTCCACGTATTGCTTTAGAAGTTTGGATACGCACAGTTAGGTTCGTCAAATCCTAATGATAATACTGCAGTAGAAAAATAAGTATAATTCACGGCTTCTTGGTGTCCACGTTTAGGAGACACAAAATCGAAGCTCTCCTCTAGCTCAGTGAAATTCAAGCTGACACAGACTAATTTGAAAGCTGCTGTTTTGAATTCGAGTACCCTCATCCTGGTACATTTTATTTCTGTAATTTTGGGTTCAAAGAATCCGAGAGGTTTCAGAATCACTTTGACCATGAATGTAATTTGGATTTTTTTATCTTCTCCCTCTCTTGTGTTTCTGAAGGAGTTTGAAAAGCGGAAGCTGCTGTGAAGGAAAAAACAAAGTTCCCTGAGCCTGTGGAATGAATCCTTGTAGCGAAGCGGCAGCAGTTTCTTCTGTTGCCCCGGTCGGCCGGGCTGTGGGCTTCCAGGACAGCGGGAAGCCAAGGCAGCGTTTAGGAAGCTCTGTACTGAGGTTTGCACCTCACTGTGTAACAGAGACAGCCATTAAATCTGCCATTTGATCTGAATATAGCTTTGGGGACTTTTTGTTGCTCCAGTGTGGGGAATGAGGGGAGCAGGAGAAACTGAGGGGTTGTGCGCGTGTGCCGATTTCAGTGGGCTCTGTAGAGAACATTCTAACTAAATAAATCTTTTGAAAGAATGAGACTAAACATTTTAGTATGGCATTTGTCTGATTATCTTAAACATGGAGTAACCTTAGGTCTATTTGGCGTTTTAGTTTTCTCATTTGTATTTATAATAGTCTGTATTTTGCAGAATAGTTTTGAGGATTAGAGATAAATATATGAAATCCGTGGTACATAATAAGAGACCACCACCATCATCATCATCATCACTAGGATTATAAGCAGAAACTCATCTATGTTTCAGTTTTTGTCTAATTGGCAATGGAGGGTCTTAGTAATGCTGTGCATTTCTCTGGCTCTGCAGAGACCTCGTCCCTTCCCCATCCGGGCCTACATGTCTGTGCTCGAGGTGTAAGACATTCCCTGCAAGAGCGCCAGCAAGCTGCTAGCCGTCCTGCTCTGTGCAAAAGGAGCTTGTTGACAAGAAGCGTTTCTGTAGTTACCGCTAAGCAGGACAGAGTGCTCAGGAGCGTGCCTTCTGAGGCAGCAGAGACAAAATATTTGTGAATTGTAACTACTCTGAAGGAAACAAACGAGCTTCAAAAATAATATTAGGGAGACGTCCTTGAAGAAAGGCTGTTTGGGAAGGCCTCCATGAGCGGGGGACACGAATTGTGACCTGAGGACTGAGAAGGTACCAGCCATGCCAAAAGGGCACGCAGCCAGCAAGGGCAGGGAGGGGAGAACTCACTTTGAAGAGGGAGGGAACACGGGATGCCTTGGGGCAGTGAGCCCCGGGAGGGGCTGGAGGAGGTTTCTGGGGTGCTGGGGAAATAGATGTTTTGGTAGTTCCAGCGACCATGCCCAGGCCGCTGAGGGTACAAAGAGCAGGTGTGAGGAGAGGGACTCAGTGCAGCAATTCCTTTCCTTTCTGTTAGAAGGTGCAGTGGAGTTCCAGCTTCCGGTGATGATGGAAGCCTTTGATCACACTCACCTTCCCTCACATAACAATCATTAAGTTGGACAAATTATTTATTTAAAAGCTGCCTGAAAGCACTAGAAAGTGACCCACATCTGACATGATGGAGGAGGTTACCTGTGAAAGAGGAGCTACAGGGGTGAAAGTTCTGAGCTTGCAGCTTTTTGCCTGAGGGCACCCCGTATGCGTTAAGTGCTAAACCTTAACCAACATATAGCACATAGGACATCGGAAAGGCCTATCAAAGAAACCGAATTTACCATCAAAATCTCCATAAAGTAAATTTCAAGTTCTGATGGTTTTTCTGGTGAATTCTATCAAATTTACTAAATAAACAATACCAGTCTTACACAAACTCTTTCAGAATGTAGAGGGGAAAAGAACACATCCCAGATTTTTGGATAAAACCAATATTACCCTGATACCAAACCTGCAAAGACATCGCAAGAAAAACTTTTAAAAATGTTTAAAAGTTTTCCTTGTGATCATGTACATAAAGATTCTTAACAAAATGTTAGCAATTGACCCAGCAACATGTGACAAGGTAAGATTATGACCCAGTGGTAGTGATGAATAAGCATACGAGTTTAACATTTCAAAATGAAACATTTAGTTTGACTGAATAAAGGGAAAAATCACAAAGTCATTTCAATAGACGAAATTCGTGATTAAAAACAAGCAAATAGCCCTGGCTGGGTTGGCTTGGATTGAAGGTCTCAAGTTCAATTCCCAGTCAAGGGCACGTACCTGGGTTGGAAGTTCGATCCCCGGCCCCAGTTGGGGTCCTGCAGGAGGCAACCAGTTGATGTGTCTCTCTCACTTTGATGTTTCTCTCTCTCTCTCTCTCTCTCTCTCTCTCTCTCTCTCTCTCTAATAATCAATAGGAAAATATCCTCAGGTGAGGATTAACAAAAATAAATTAAAAAAACAAGCAAACAAGAACAACAAAAACATACAGCTAACTTGGGATAGAGGAGAATTTTCCCCATGTGATAAAGGACATCTATGAACATCCTTGGACTAGCATCATCTCTGATGGTGAAACATGGGAAAATCCCGAGACTGAAAACTGGGTGAGGATATCTGCTCTCCTGTTGAACATTGTGGTAGAGCAAGTACAATATAGTGAGGGGGGAAAAACAAAAAACAGTCATGAAGATTGGAAAAGAAAAAATAAAGTTATAATCAAATTTAACATTTTTATTTAAAAAAATCCTAAGAAGTCTATTTTTAAAGACTATTAGCTCTAATAAATTCATTTAGCAAGGTTTTAGGATACAAGGTCACCTGGCAGGGGTGAAACCATGATCACGGAGGTTTACCCAAGGGGAGGCTTATCCATTCCATTCCGGATGTGCTGACCCCTGCGGTTTCCCCAAATGTGGGAAACTCGACAGCACAATTTGTGGTAGTGGGGGACTGTGTTCATGCCCTGAAAGAAGAAAAAGGCAAAAAACAAACCAAAATTGATTAATGTGTATATTTTTGCAACAAAAAATTAGAATATGGAAGACCCAATATTGTTAACCAGAAGCTCTTTTCAAAATAGTGTATTGGGCCCCGGCCGGTTTGGCTCAGTGGTTAGAGCATCGACCCATGGACCAGAGAGTCCTGGGTTCAGTTCCCACTAAGGGCACATACCTCGGTTGCAGTTTGTCCCCGGCCCCGGTTGGGCTCATGTGGGTAGCAACCAGTCGATGTGTCTCTCTCACGTCGATGTTTCTCTCTCTTCCTCCCTCTCTCCCTCCTGCTCTATCTGAAGATAAATGCAAAAATGTCCTCGGGAGAGGATATAAAAAAAAATTAGTGTATTGGTGCAACCACTATGGAAAACAGTATGGAAGTTCAGCAAAAATTAAAAATAGAACTACCTTATGACAGCAATTCCACTTCTGGGTATATATCCAAAGAAATCCAAAACACTAATTTAAAAAGATATATACATCCCTATGTTTACTGCAGTGTTATTTATAACAGTCAAGATATGGGAGCTAGCCAAGTGACCAACAATAAACGAGTGGATAAAGATGTTGTGATACATATATGCAATGGAATATTACTTGGCCATACAAAAGAAAAATCTTACCATTTGTGACAATGTGGATGGATCCAGAGGGTATTATGCTAAGTAAAATAAGTCAGACAGGGCCCTGGCCTGGTGGCTCAGTTGGTTGGAGCAGTAGTCCCATACAACAAAGGGTTGTGGGTTCGATTTCCGATCAGGGTGCATACGTAGATTACAGGTTCGATCCCGGTCAGGGTGGGAATGGGAGGCAACTGATCAATGTTTCTCTCTCTCCCTCTTTAAAAATCAGTAAAAACATATCCTCAGGTGAGGATTAAAATATAATAATAAATCAGACAGGGAAAGACAAATACATGATTTCACGTATATACAGAATCTAAAGAACAAAATTAATGAACAAATAAAGCATACAGACTCATAGATACAGAGAACAAACTGATGGTTGACAACTAGGAGGTGGGTCAGGTAAAAAAGGTGAAGGAATTAAGTACAAATTGGTAGTTACAAAATAGTCACAGAGATGTAAAGTACGGCATAGGGAATATAGTCAATAATATTGTAATAACTATGTCAAGTGGGTACCATAATTATTGAGGGGAATCACTTTGTAAGTTATTTAATTGTCTAACCACTCTGCTGTACACACAAAACTAATATAAAATATTATTGAGTGTCAACTGTAATTAAAAAAATAGAAAAGAAACCACACCCTATTGTGGCCATCATTTAGCAATATATAAGTGCATCAAATCAACATGTACACAAATTTACACAATATTATATCTCAATAAAATTTTTTTTAAAAAGAAAAAAATGCACAATGAGATACCATTCACAACCTCCTCTGGAATGGCTAGGATGGACTTTGCCTCCTAGATGCAAACACTGGGATGATATCAGTGATTACCTAGCAAGTGCAGCCCTTCATTTGGTGCCAAACTTCTTCGTAAGCCGCGGATGGCAAAGCCAAGCATGACGTTCAAGGACACACCAAGGAGGGCTCTATCATCCTGAACTGCGATGGAGAGAAACCCAAACCTCTTTCTGCATCACAAAGCAGAGCTGTGAAGAGTTACCACCAGTCGAAGTGGCCTTGGTTTTAAATGTCATATACTCACATCGCAAAGCCTGGGCTTGGGGGAGGGGAGGTGAGGAAGGGCCTGGTGGAGAATGAGAAAGGGAAGTAAAATCAGTACTGATAAAACAGAAAGGAGTTGGGAGATTTTTTTTCCAAGAAAAGAGATAGCTGAGAAGGTAAATGGACTGTAAGGTTAACTGGAAATGATAAGCATTTATGATCCCAGATCCCCTTTTGAATCTGATGAATGCTGTGGACTCTGCCCAGAAACATCCTGAAAGGGTTTGGAACAGGCCTCCCCAGAGGTGCCACTTTGGTATGTGGATTATTTTGAGCTCAAGGCAATTGAGATTCTGCGGACTCAGGAGAAACTTTTACCTCTCCCGTAAAGATTTTAAATTGAGGCCTTGCTCATAAAGAGTTATTACCAGAAATAACCTTTTATGACCTATCTACAGAGCAGGGCAAACTAACTGAACATCTCTTCTTCTTGCCCTGAAAACTGCTCTCCTCTCCTCTGAAGCCCCAGGTGCTTTATCTCATCCTTAGCTCAGGGTGTCATAGATACCACAGTTTACCTTTCTGTCTTGAGACGGTTCCTGTATGTGGGGTCTCCGTACATTTGTGTGTAATTAAATTTGGTTATTTTCTCTTGTTAATCTTATGAAAGAACCTAGAAGGGTAGAGGAAAATTTCTTCTTCCCTGTCAATACCTTCCCATGCCCTGAGCATGATGGTTAGTTAGAGCCCTTGACTTAAACTCTTCCCTGAGGCATTTGTATTTTAATATTGAGTTCTTGGAGAAGGAAAGACTAAAACCTTACCTGGGAATTACAGGATTCCTTGCCCCTCATCTTGAAGCCAGCCTGCCCTTTTCAAACAACTTCACCTGCTGGCCAGAAAGAGGAGCAGGATCCCCACTGGCAAGAGCTTTTGCCTGTTCCTGACCCGGTCATTTGGTTCTGTCTCTTCCAGGTTCTGACCTTATGGCTCTGTATCTCCTACTTTGATTCTGGGCTTGACCCCTAGACTGGGTATTAGGACTTATTCTCTCATGTATTTGAACTTTGGTTCTCTTCAGTGGCCTTTGCCTTGGAGGTCCCTTTGGCATCCAGCATCCTGGGGTGTCCCTGATAGGTGCCTGACAGGTGGCACAGTCAAAGGCGAAGCACTCTGGGAACAGGAATTACCACCTTCAGGCTCGTTGGTAAGGGGAGGGAGCTGTTCCTGAAGCTGAGACCAGCAGCTCTGAGAAGGTCCCTGGCAGGAGCTGTGACCCTGTATAGAGGACACAACCACTCCCCAAATCAAGACCTGACATGGGGCAGTGAGGGGAATAAATACCCTTACCTCACACCCCTCCTGTCCTTTGATCTGCCTGTAGGAGGCCTGGCCGAACTCAGCTGGAAGGCAGAGAGGGTGGGCGAGCCCATACGATCTTGTGTACAGAGAAGCCTTGTGGGGGCCGAGCAGGTGGAACAGGACAAAGAAGGGTGGAGAACGGATCCAGAGGGGCACATGGAGAATCACAACTTCCCCTACCCTCCCTCTCACACTTGGGCAGTATCCTGGCCAGGGCAGCAGAAGTAGGTCTTGTTTGGGGGGAAAGGTGGGGAGAAACTAGATGTCAGGTACCCTGATAGGTCAGCATGGGCACATTTGGGGCAAAATCTGATGCCTCCAGGAAAATCCTTAGTGGAATTTTTCATTTTACCCTATAGTAAGCAGTTTTCCCTGGGAGAAAAATAGTCATTGATGGTGTGCTCTCTAAGGAGTTGAAAAATAAAAGGGTGTTTGTAGGTAGGTGAGTGGGCCATGGCATTAGGTTTCTTGAGTGTCCTGTGAGATGCGTGAGGACGTTTTAGGACGTTCAGGGTTGTGAGGGCTGCAGCTGCAGACCAGGGCCCAGGAGCCGAAGGGCCTGGGACTTGGGAGCAGGGAGGTCAGGAGGCTGGGCCAATGCAGTGTCCTTGGAGAACCCAGCACTCGCGCCCTGAAGTTCTGGTGGCCACCAGATTGACCTACCCACATTTTCAGGTGTGAGAGCCGATGCTCAGAGGTAAAGCCTAAACTTACAACCAAGTTGGTAGCATAACTGAAAGTTAAACCCGGGCCGTCTTTCCTGGACTCCAGACCTGCGCCTCACTTGAGGGGCGTGGGGAGGACATATGATTGGGTCATCACTAAGCAGTTTAGGAAACTTGTGCAGTAGACAACATTTTCAGTGACATTAAAGGCACCGAAAACAGTCATTCAAACAGTGTGCACATGACTGTGGCCACCCTCTTTGAATTTGACTTGTTCTACAAGTGGGATAGGTCCCCCCGGCAGGGGGCATGGTTAGAGTATGGTCCATGGCCAAGAGATGGCACAGAGCTGGAGGACTGGGCAGAGGGCAGGACCTTGTGCTCAGCTCCAGCGACACAGAGCTCCATGCTACTCACTAAGGAGCTGACCACAGACGACTGAGATGGCCAGTCAAGGGGATCTCGGCAGTCGTAGGAAGGGCCACTGCTGAAGGAACCTCGATCCCTCATCCGTTTCTCATTATCAGGAATTCTGTCAGAGCTCTGTGGGGCTGGGAGTCTGGTGTCCGATCTGGAATCAAGATTCGAAATTGCTCAGGATCCAAAGCCTGGTCAGGTCTGCTGTAATCCACGGGGAAACTGAGCGGACAGTGTGAAGGTCAGCGCTCATGGCTTTTGTTCAGATAAAGGAGTTCTATCTTTTAATAGCTTTTCAGCTCATTAGTATTCTGATGTGGAGAGAAAAGCACCTTTTCAGCTGCTGAATTAATGACGTTTCAATATGCGAGAACTGTAATTTTTTTTTTAGGGAGAGAGAAACATCCATATGAGAGAGAAACATTGGTTGGCTGCCTCCTGTACCCACCCAGACTGGGAATTGAACCCGCAACCTTTTGGTGTGCAGGACGATGCTCCAACCAACTGAGCCACCCGCCCAGAAAGAGAACTGCAATTTTGATGTGGGGGTGGGGAGGCCTCTGCAAAGTGATCTGGTTGGTCTCTGGTGATCCCTCGCAGCTAGAAAAGGGATGAGCACTGGTCCTGAGGCGGGCATGTCTCCTTCAACAAGGTCCCTGCAGCTGACAGGCTTCGAGTGATGGGTGAGGATGAGGAGGCGCTGAACACAAGAAAGAACTCTGTGGGAAACACCCATCCTCAAACACCATCGGGGACTGGACAGTGCAAAGTCAGTTTATAACAGTGATGGTCAAGTCAGAACTTCCCTGCTCTGCTCCAGCCCCGGAAGGAAGAGAAACAGCAGCTGGCAGGTGAGGAGGAAGGTGAGGGGGACGGAAGACGCTGCCT